GGTGGTCTGGCCTTGTGCACGCATGTGTGTACAACGCTCCTTGTTCCATAACTGTTTGCTAGCTTACATACATATTGTTATATAATAATAATAATAAAAAGCTTAAGAGCTTGTGCAACTGATGGAAAACAACAATGATGAGCCTAGAGAAAGTTGAAGAGAACACTTGAACGCTGATTTTTTTAGAGTAAGCTTCATAAAAAAATGTTTCCACACCACAAGTACTTTTACCTATTTATAAAAATTATATCTTCTTTGGTAGGTGAAAAAACTAATTTTCAATCTATTTTACATTTCAAGAAACATACACATGGCTCTATTTAGGTGTCAATCCTGATGAATTTAAGTGACCAACACTAGAGTTTAATGACTATAGAAGGTTTTATATCTCAAGAAGGGCATTGATAAGTCTTCATCATCATGAGTTAATAATTAATAAATAATATAATTTTAGTCTTAACTCATGATAAGTAGACTTATATTTATGTTAAATTGTGAAAAGTAATTTTCGATTGATTAATGTGAATTTTTGGCTAATTATGTGATTTTGTATGAATTTATATAATTTTATAGTTTTATTTGTGAGATAAATGAAGAAAAATAAATTAAAATAAAAATATAACAAAAGGGGGGGACCCGCCGACTAGCCCGGCTTGCAAATAGGTCAGAAGCATAGTCGGGGGGAGCCGTGAGTAGGGGCTCAAGCGGCGAGGACCGATGGTGTCACATGTGTGCCACTTTCCCTTCCATGTCACCGATGACTAGTTGACTGTGGGACAAGGAGTGGTCATACACATGTGAGAAAGAGACTCATTACTTGCAAATGTGATAGTATTATATATTCACCCAAAACTTTGGTATACAAGTAATATGAGACTAAACCTGCATCACACCTTCTCTCGAGAGGCTTTGAAGATTTTAATACCTAAACTATCCCTTCATTATAATAGAGATATATCATAATGACATCACTTGATAAAGGTATTATAATACTTATTTCAACCTCTCTCATGTAGGTGGGCAACTGACGTGAGTTTGAATCTTCTTAGAGTCAAAACTTATACTTTATCTGATTATTACGACTTTCCTACAGATCGCTGGTGAAGGATTAAGCCGTTAGAATTGTCGGATCATCGACGAAAATCTCGTCAATGTAATTTGCGAAGCATTGTTACTAAAATTGCTGAACGATTTGTGATAAAAGGATCGCGAATCCATCAGGTAAATCATCTCCAATTGATCGACGAACAAGCTGTCATCAAGAAGAGGACGATCCATTAAAAGATGAGTCGTCACTCCTCAGAACATACCGGATGCGATGAAGAGCCTTCTCTTACTGCACAAACCTAAGGATGAAGCTCCCTAACACGTACCCCACCTTCAATTGGAGATGATTCAATGACTCATTTCATTGATCTCTAGACTTTGCAAAGAGATCTAGAGGTTGCCTACGTCGTCTTTGTCTAAGGAAAACCTTCGAGGACATGGACACTATATGATGATCTTCTCAAACACTCAAGATTTTAGTACATCGCCGACATATTACCGCCGTGATGTCGGAATTCTGTTTTCTTACTTTTAATTTAATTTTCACTTTATTTAGTGATAAGTTGTGTGATTTAAATTTACTAAACTATATTTCATTTAATTATGATTCTTCTGATTTTTAAATATCTTAATTTGATCAATTAAATCGTCTATAATCACTTATGTAAGAATTGTCAGACAGAACTCTATTTCTATTCGATTCGCGTTCATCGGGTGCTGATTTAATCTTGATGTCTGCACTTTTATTTTTCTTTTTTGTGAATTTAAAATATATTTTATTCTCATTTCTTAATATAAAATTCATAAAAAGTCATATTTTTTGAGAAAAATTCTAGAAAAATATCTTATATTATATTACATTGCTATGACTAACTTAGAAAATTACCACTATTTTTAAAATTTTATTGAATTATATTGATATATTTATTTAGAAATACTTCTTAATATCTGAAAATTAGTATTTTCTAGTTTAATAAATTTTAAATTTACGTGATTTACTATACAATGACTAAGTCATGTTAGACATCTATCTCAAAAGACCACTTTTCCAATCGATAAAAAATGATTAAATTTTTAATATTTCAACTTTCATTTCACCAAACATCTTAAAGTGTACCATCTATGATTGTTGTCAATGCCTAAGTTCTCAATAATTGATATTGGGACACCCTTTGTCCAATGAGTGTAGATATCAACCCTTTGAGTCTTTGGTATAATCACTATCTATCCAATGAGCATAACCCTTATGAACTCAACATTCTAAATCATTTTCAAATGTTAACCCCTTGCCTTTTGGTGACAATTCATATGCATCTATCTTAATTTTTAGTGGCATTGACCTCTATATTTACAATAATAATGAGAATGCTGATGATACAAGTTTAAAGTATTTGATTTGTTACAATGATAATATATTTATTTTCAAAACTATACCTTTATCTAATTTTCAAAATTTTACTATATCCTAAAATGGAGTTTTTTTATTCTTGACTTAAATTATATTTTCTATATGGTATGTTTAAATGTTAAAGATAGATTAACTAATAAGCCACTTTCAATGTGATGATTGCATAAGAACTAGAGAATTTCTAAAGTCAACTGCTTAATCTTGACTACATAACTAGTTAAAACTTTATTTATGCCTTAAATTGTGATTATAATACATTATTTTTTATATTATTTCAATATTTATTCTGTTTATTTGTTTACCCTTGGTTACTAATTAGTTTCTTGAGGATTTATAAGTTATGCATGCTTTGATTAGCATGAATAATGAATGCTTACATTTTAAAATTTCAAATTGAGTAATTCATTAAAATCAACAATCTTAGGGAATAGTAAAAGATTCTATGAGCTCTTTGCCTTGTTTTTAAGTGTGAGCCTTTTCTACATTTTCATTGAGTGCATGAAATTCATATGAATACATATACAAGACTATCAAAAAAATTTAAAAAATATTTTTTGATTAATTTTACCAACAAATCATAGGAAGGCCATTGGAATGTTTGAATCACATTTCACAAGATGATGGACAAGATGGAATGAAGGATTGAACAAACTCAACTTTGAACCATTTGTTTGTGAGGTCCTGTTATTTTACTATTATTAAGTAGGACATTTATAGGTGCCAATGAACTGTAGGATAAGTAGATGCCCTATAGGCCTAGCTTAATTAGGCTTAATTCTAGAGTAGGCCCAAATGAAACATAAAAAAAGTATGGTTTAACCTAGAGGACAATGACTAGCTATTTGTGATGGAGAGAGAAAAGGATTGGGACAAGGGTTAATTTATGAATAGCCACAAATGGAAGAAAAAAAGGATGATTTCATAAAACCTTCTAGAACAATGATTTTTTCTCAAATTATTGGGATTTTATTTTAGATTTTATGAATATGTTCCCTTGATAAGAATAATTCCTATTCAATTCCATATGGAGAGTTATTTTATTCCTCTCTTAATAAGCTCAATAAGGCTTTCATCTCTTTGGTATATATGCAACTTAAAGTTTCTCTATTTGATGATCAAGCTTATACATAATATAAGGAAAACACTTTCTCAAATAAAGCTCAATGAAAAATATTATTCAATGAAAAAAAGTAATTACATCAAGATTTGTTATTCAAGGGTCTCTTAAGAAACTAAACAATTATCTACCAAAAAGACTTCATCAATTATCATTGCTAATACAACCTATCACATGTAATTTTATTTCTTTGTGGGACTAGTTTTTAATTTGGGTATTTGAGTACCATTATATAATGCCAATCCATTGCAAATATTACTTCTTGTTCTTTAGAGGATGGTAGAAATGGACACAATTTTGAAACTTATCCTTAAAGAGTTTTCATCACCTTGATAGCATGTATCATACTCCTATATGGGCTGACATTAGAAACTTAATAAGACAGAATGGATTAAGTTATGTTCTTCTTCAAGGGTTAATAAGATGAAATGCAAGCATAGCCACATACTACTGGATTTTTTTGGGCAATGTGACATTGTCTATTCTAGTCTCTCCAGGCATCAAAGCACTAGGCTGCTTATTACACCACCAAAGTCTAGGTCCTCAGCCATCTGTTACAAGAACTGGGCTTATAATGACGACTCAAGACAGTGTTTCAACGCCTCAAACACAAAGAAGAAACGTTGAAGATTTAGCATACACAATCATTACTCTCGTAAAATCAATGTGAAGTAGCTCTCTTGTTCGGGGTGAGCAGATTAGGAAATTATGAGTATCTTCTAATTATTTTAATATTAGAATCATTGCCACGTGTCAGAAAACATGAGGATGATACCATGAGATTTTGTGAACCGACCTATATATGGTCAAAATTCAACGAACAGATGTGTGGCTCTAAGTGAAGCAGCTGGCATGCCGCTGAGTATCCGTGTTCAATTCGACATCAAACATGTGCTTGTTATGGACATCTGTTGAATCTGGTCAGGTGGAATCTGATCTAACACCTGTCTCGTGCATTTCACGCCACGCATTTCGCGCATTTCGACGCCACGCATTTCGCGCATTTCGACGCCACGTGGAGATTTTAGTCGACAAGATGGAGAAATTAATTGATCTGATTGACCTAATTTCGGGCACCACACATATCCGCCGCCCCCGGTAGGAAGCATCTCGCGCCTGCCTTCCAATTGGTTTGGCCGACAACGTGGGGCAATGTCTGAGGGAACCTTCTCTTCCCACTCTCTCTCTCTCTCTCTCCGCCCTCTCCCTCTTCCCTTATAAGTGACTCGTCTCAAAGATTTCTAGCAAGCTCTTTCACACATCCTCTTCTTTTTAACATACTATCGCCTCACTAGACTCTCTCTCTCTCTCTCGTCTTCAGAGTCCAAAATAAATTATGGTAGGTGATGACGAGGAGAGAACTGGGCCTCTTGCATGGCCGTTTTGGCCGTGGGTTCAAAGAATAACGTCGTGCTTCCTGCGCAGGTTATGGCCGGTACCCCTGCCGACGCAGGAGATGATGGCTCCGCCCTGGTTGTCAACTTCAAGGGGAACCCAGCAGACAAGTCTAAGACCGGCGGATGGTTCTCCGCAGGCCTAATCTTAGGTTCTGCTGCCAACCCTTCTCTCTCTCTCTCTCTTGCTCTCACTCTCTCTCGATTTCTGATTCCGGGACACGCACTGTTCATCTTGTAGTTACGGAACTGGCAGAGAGGGTCTGCGTCATTGGCATCTCCGTCAACTTGGTGACCTACATAGTTGGAGATCTACACCTCTCCACCTCGGCAGCAGCCAACATTGTGACCAACTTCTTGGGCACACTCTACCTGCTGGCTCTCCTTGGCGGCTTTCTCGCTGATGCCAGACTCGGCCGCTATCTCACCGTCGTCATCTTCGCAATCGTCGCCACAATAGTAAGCACATTATACGCTTGAGCCTGATCTCTCTCTGAGGTGGAGCTGATCGTGTCTCTCTCGTGGGGGATGGCAGGGCGTCAGCCTGTTGACGGTGGCAACGATGCTACCGAGCATGAGGCCGCCGCCGTGCAGTGGTTTCCGCCAGAATCACCAAGACTGCGAAGAGGCCAGCACCGGGCAGCTGGTTCTGCTCTATGTGGCGCTCTACACCACCGCGCTCGGTGCCGGCGGCATCAAGGCCAATGTTTCGGGCTTCGGCACGGACCAATTCGACTGCGACGACCCGGAGGAGGAGAAGGCAATGGTCTTCTTCTTCAACCGATTCTATTTCTGCATCAGCCTGGGCTCCCTTTTTGCGGCCACAGTGCTGGTTTACCTGCAGGACGACGTCAGTAGAGACGTAGGGTACGGCGTATCGGCAGGAGCCATGGCCGGGGCGGTGGTGTTGCTTCTGGCGGGGACGCCGCTGTACCGGTACAGGTTACCGCGGGGGAGTCCGCTCGCAGTGTTGTGGAAGGTATTCTACTCGGCGTGGAGGAAGAGAAGGCTGCCTTATCCGGCCGACGCCGGCGAGCTTCATGAATATCACACCTCCAAGGTCTCCAACACCCAGCGCTACAGGTGCGTCGACGCTGCCAGGAATCTGGGGACGTGGGCAATCGGAACTTAGGATGATTGAAAGGTCAACAGCTGGGTGGGGGCCCAGACATACTCTTTATTAGGATGATCGCTGCGTTTGTATTGATCTTTTTGTTCACCAGGTGCCTCGACAAAGCAGCACTGGTCGCGTGCACCGCCCCCAGTGGAGGAACCACCGCCTCCAAAGGAAAACCCAGAGCTTCAACTGAAAACCTCTGCAGCGTCACGGAGGTAGAGGAGACGAAGATGGTGCTGAAGCTCATCCCCATCTGGTCAACCTGCATCCTCTTCTGGACCGTCTACTCCCAGATGACCACCTTCTCGGTCGAGCAGGCCACCTATATGGACCGCCACATTGGATCCTTCGTCTTCCCCGCCGGGTCCCTCTCCTTCTTCCTCTTCGCCACCATCCTCCTCTTCACCTCACTCAACGAGCGCCTTTTCGTCCCCCTCGGCCGGCGCCTCACCGGCAACCCCCAGGGCCTCACCAGCCTCCAGAGGGTCGGAGTGGGTCTCGTCTTCTCTATACTCGCCATGGCCGCCGCTGCCGTGGTGGAGCGCCAGAGGCGGGAGTCCGCCATCCGCCGCCACCACAACATCAGCGCCCTCTGGCTCGTCCCCCAGTTCTTCCTGGTGGGTGCTGGCGAAGCCTTCGCCTACGTGGGTCAGCTGGAGTTCTTCATCAGGGAGGCCCCCGAGAGGATGAAGTCCATGAGCACCGCCCTCTTCCTCGCCACACTCTCTATGGGCTTCTTCGTCAGCAGCTTGCTGGTCTCTCTCGTGGGTAAGGCCACAGGGGAGAGGTGGATCAGGAACAACCTAAATATGGCCAGACTCGACTACTTCTACTGGATGCTGGCGGTGCTTGGCCTGATAAACATCGTCATCTTCCTGGCCTTCGCAAGACGACATCAGTACAAGGTCCAGCAGCCGGAGTTGAGCTGCAATGGGGAGAGGGAGCTCAAGGACTGTAAACGCGACGCAGAGGGGAAGATGGACATCGTCTAGGGAAAGTTTATTATTTGCCTCTCGAGTAGCACGGCTACACTTATGCTAGAATGTCACCCTCTGACATTTTGGAATTGGTCCCAGAAAATTTGCAATGGAAAATTTACACAAAAAAGTGTACAAAAGTTGCAAAAACTTTTTTCATAGCCAATGAAGTATAAAGAATTTTACAACACATACTTGGGATTCCAAGGTTAAAAGGACAAAGTAGAAGATCTTATAAAGCTTATCTGACCCCAAATTCAGTAGCTATGAGCTAATTCTACTAAATTAACCTAGTTCTTCATTACAACACATACTTTGCTTCTGTGTTCCAGGTGTAAATATTTATTTTTAGGTTTCATTTTACTTTAAAAAAGCTTACACCTGATCAAATCTTGAGAGTGGAAAAGGTTGGATTAGTACTATGATGAAGCTAACATCAAACTTGGGGGTGAGGTCTTGATTAGTTCATTGAAAAACCCCATATTTTACATATTGGGAGAAGCCTAGTTGAAATGCCAAAGGTGAAACTTGAGGGTGAGTTACATCTAACACTTACTGAAACTCAAGAAACGTTTTCTGTACCAATTTTGTACATAGATAAACCCATCATGCTTGTCCCTCTACATGGATAAACCTGTAACTTTTGTAAACAAGTTTTTGACATGCTACATGTTGCTCTCAAAACAATTGGAGGTGAGGTACATCTAACACTTGCCAACTCACAAGAAAAGTTTTCTGCATAGTTTTGACATGCTACATGAACTTCTCAAAACATGATATGCATTAATACAAGATAACCCACATTTTCAAAGGTTATATTTCTTATTCTTATTCATCTTATTCTCCATTCCTATTTTTCTATTCAGTTTAATTGATATACATATCCATTATTTAAAGTGGTTTGTTCTTAAACCCCAACAATTTCTTATTTCACCATGTTACTACATTGTAATGCATTTAACATGGTTCACAAGAAGAAAAGAGAAGTCTATTTTTAAATGGCTAAATCTGAAAAGCATACGATTTTAATAATATTATCCAAGCTTGAAATTCTCTATTTGAAAATGCTTATTGATGAGAAAAGTATTTTTCTAAATTTCTGAAAACATGAAATCATTAAATATTTTGCCATGCATGTCAAATCCTTTTTCAATTAAGTTGTCGACATAAAATTTGCAATTGACATGAGGAATTGAGTGCTTGTCCTCACCATCAAGATCCAATATAGTCCATGTTTTAATTATTTATATTAAAACATCAACTAAATCAAAATGACAAAATGTTACTGTAAATGAAAACCTTTTTAAATTGATCATCATGTCATGACATTAATCTTGATAAAGTTATTTCTCATTTCTTACCATTTTAGTACAACTTGAAAGTTTTTGACAACAATCAATTTCTTCTTCATCATATTATTATAGTTAATCTACTCATTTTCTTTCTGATTTCTTATTGGACCACTTGCGTTTTGGAAATTTAACAGTCTATGGTCAATTTATTACTAGAATTATTTTTAACATTGAAACATTTAGATAAATTGTTGAGAGTTCTCACGTTTTATGTCTATCCATCTCTCAGGCACACATCCCAAGTAACCAATGCTCCATCTTCTTCCAAATCTAGATCTAGAAACCTCAATACCTATGATAGGTAGGAGATAAATGAAATTAAGTATAAACTCAAGCTTCCTCATAACAAATGTATTGATGGAAAATAGAGACCTTAGAAAGAAATGTGTTAGAGCCCCATCAAATCTCTCTTATTTGTTCCCTAATTGACAAAGAGGTGGACAATAAAATTATTCTGGAAATGATTGGAGTGAATTGGAAAGAGGTAAATGGAATGAAAGAAAAAAAGAGGTGGAAATAAAGAAAAAGAAAAAAATTATTATTTTGAATGTTTTATGTATTGTTTCCTTCCTCCATTTAGATCATTGTTAGATATATTATTTTCCAAATTATGATTGAATTATTTCTTTGTTTGATTCACAGAAAACACAAAATAGATCACACAATATCTCTAACTAGTTTTAATTAATTTTATTATAATTCATTCTGAAATTTGGGTTATTGTTAAAATATGATTAAGAACCCTAATAAAATTATTTTTGTATTTCAGTTTATATAATTATGATAAAATCAGAAAACATCTTTACTTTTATATAAAAAGAAATTACTTTGATATCTTGTTGTTATGATAGTTCGCTCTCTAACTTCATAACATTTACCAAAGAATGTAAAAAATCCAATACTCTTAATTTGGAAAGTGATCTACTAAAACTTTTTTAGGAGCAAAAGATCTTATTACTTTAAATATTGGCTTTCAATTTAGTTATTAAGACTACTAGTTATTGTACCACATGAAATTATGTCACCATTGTACTTTCTTAAGTTAATTTCTCTTTTTCATTGACCAAAGTGGATATAATAATTGAAACCAGTTTGAGAGTTGTCCTAAAAAAGGAAAAAAAATGAATTTTGAGATATAGTTGAGAGTATTAGAAATCTTTATTTGCATTCGTTCTCTAATAGGCTAGCAAGTATATTAAGAGGGGGAGAATTATTTTCGTAGTGTGCTCTAGCATATTTAATTATTTTAAGATATTTTATGAATTTCAACTTTAGTGGGTTGACACAAAATTATATGGGTGGGCATACTAGATTGACACACTAGTTTGATTGAGATGACATTGTTTGTCCTAACTAGATCATCAAATTAGGTTATAGAACAACTAGAACATAAGAATTTATAGTTGTTGTATTTTTATTTTTCTTACATCTGCTTCTCAAGAGTTCCTGCCCTTACTTTGTACTATTCTCACTTAGAGAATTACTATTTCACTTGACATGATTATTAAAATCCCTTTACATGAAAAAATTCATGACTCACAATAGACAGCAAGAAAACAGTTTGGCTATTTACCAATGTTACAACTACTTGCACAGTGTCTTCACATATGAAAAAAGTTCTTAGAACTTATAATTAGCTTTGAATGATGAAATGAAACTTTTATTAATGTTGAAGGCAAGTTGAGCAAGTAAAAAGTTTGAAAACATAGGATCTTGCATGAAAACCTACTCACATTTATTTGGAGAATGACTCAAATGAGAATTTTTGTCATAATCATTATTTGAAAGCTCATGAGAGCTGCTTCTTATAGAGTCTAATATCTCCACTATAGAATTTGAATGGTTAAGATATGATTGGAAAAAAATCCTCTACTATGTTGACACATGAGTTGAATCATAGTAAGCTATTGTTATCTGGTCTAGGTCACTAGTTTGACCAGTTTTTCATCAGATCAAACATAAGACATATCAATTAATGATCCTAGATGTGTTGTTTATCTTCTAATAGATTAGGATATCTTTTCTTCATCACATTCGCATACATGTTGGCTAGCATATTAGAGATGCATCTACTATATGTCAACCACATTGTCTTTGTTAGAGATATTCTGCCACATGTTAAATATAGTATACTTGTTTGATTCTTTGTTGGTACATGTCAATTGTTCTTTCAAATATCACACAGTGTGTCATTTGAACTAACTCTTTGTCATATGTCATGTGTTATTGGATCTTTTGTCTTATGTCACTTGTTGAATATTTTGACCAATCTTTTCTTATATGTTGTCACATGTCATGTACACATTCAATTTTTTTTGCCTCATGTTACCTATGTTGTTCTTGTAAGATTTTCATAATTTTGTTCCCTAGCCTGAGATTGGTCAACACTTTTCTTTTTCTTCAAGTGGACAAGCACACTACATTGACACACTTTGAGTTGACCCACTTTCTTTCTACTCTTGTTAAAGTTCTAAAATGACTTATTTTGATTTAAATTTTACTTGACTTGATGTTTACATGACTTCTAGTTTTTATTATCTTCATTTGAGGTCCGTTTACTCTTGGTTTTATCACAATGGAGAACACTTGATTTCAATGTAGAAATTAACTTTTGTATGATAAGAGAATAATTATACCTTGATTTTACATAGAATTAAATAAAAAAAAGGATGATGGTATTTTAGTAAAAATCTAATGTCTATGAAACCATTGAGCTAATTTAAGGTCTTAATTTTAGATTTCAAATGTTGCCATCGTATTTCTGAAAAGTTTATACTACTTTAAAAAATAATTTATGTATATTAAATGGTTAGTTAGATTAATGAGACACATTAACCTTCAAAAGTTGAAAATGTAGCTATTGCAAGTCAAGGCCCAGAAATTGTATTTTTGATGAGTAGACAATTAGCCTAGTTAGGCAAACCCCAAAAATGTTAACAATATTTGAAGTAAACATTGATGAGTAGAAGTCATTTTCAATTGTCTATCATTTCCAAATATTAAAAAGGTTAATCCAAAGGCTGAACAGAAGTATACATTCAAGATACTCTTGCAATAAGTTTATTTGTGGTTTATAGTATGGTAGAGCTTTGATTTTGAACCTTGTGCATGACACACTTGCCCAATTGAGGTAATAATTATATTATCCAAAGGTATTACTAGTGGCTCAAAAACATGTAGTTCAGATGCAACCTTGTAGAAAGATTAGCTTTATTGTACTCCTTGTAGTTATGGTATATTTTGAGATTAGAATTGATTTGGTGATAGCCCACTTTTGAGAGAGATTAGTTAAGAAATGAGTACCTAGCCTTTTTTTCTTTATAAAAACTGCAAAGAGATTACAAAATTGCTACTACTTTTTCACGACTTTGTATCCAAATTTGAAAGAAAATGACTCTATTGACTGAAATTTTGTGAAGAATCATCTCTTGGCACCTCAAGACTGCAAACCATTGTCTTCAAAATGTGGGGGAACCCTTTCAATACACAACTAACATCATTGGTGATATAGCTCTAAAAGAAGAAGACCATGGAAATAGTAGATGAATTTAGTGAAGAAACCCTTGAAAAATTTGTCACTTGGGCTATAGACGTTCTTTTTATTTCAAATGAAGAATCTACATGACTCTTGACTAAATTGTCACTTGGGCAAAGTTTTCAAGGGTCTAATGTCAGACGGAAAACGTCACCAGGGTTTTACTAAAAATGAGTTAATATTTTAGCACTTCATCAATCCTAAATAGAAATATGAGAGATAAAAGGGTTTTTGACGTAAAAATGCTTTCTTGGGCTTCTAGAATCTTCACGCTAGGGTTTTGATAAATTGGCGAGCTTTCCAATCTCTACCGGGATGTCCATCCTTTCCCCCAACTCCCACCTGTTGGATACTCTCGGTCCGCGGGAGCTATCCAATCCATCAGCGTCAGCTGCCACGAAAGCCCCCCCTTCTTCATCTGCTCGCTAGCGGCGGCGGCGGAGGAAGGGGAGAGGAGTAGCCGGACACGGTGAAGCAGCAGAGCCGGAAATCTTGGGCGAGCAGCGGCGGCAATGGGGAAATCTGGGAGCAGGCGGAAGAAGAACACTGCCGGCCCCGGCAACAGCGCCACCGCCGACGCCCACACGCAAGCCCAAGCCCCCGCCGCCGCAGTTAAGTCACCCCCATCCTCCGCCGCCGCCCCTTCCCCGAACGGCCTGGATTTGGATTCCTCCGTCTTCCTGAAACGTGCCCACGAGCTCAAAGAGGAGGGCAACCGCCGCTTCCAGGCGAGGGACTACACGGCGGCGCTGGAACAGTACGACCTCGCCCTGAAGCTCCTCCCTCGCTCCCACCCCGACCGCGCGGTCTTCTACAGCAATCGCGCCGCGTGCCTCATGCAGATGTCCCCCGTCGACCACTCCGCCGTCGCCGCCGAGTGCACCCTCGCTCTCCTCGCCCAGCCCCGCTACCCGCGTGCGCTGCTCCGCCGTGCCAGAGCTCTAGAGGCTCTTGGCCGCTACGACGCCGCCCTGCAGGATGTGCAGGCCCTTCTCGCCGCCGACCCATCTCACCGCGACGCCTTGGAACTCGCCCGCCGCCTGCGCACCGCCGCCGCCGCTGCCACCGCCACCGCCCATCAGCAGCAGCACGAGGCGGCGCAGCAGGACCTGCACAGCCGCCCATCCCCCGCCGCGCTCGGCGCTTCGGCCGTGCGTGGCGCGCCAATTGGCGGGCTCGGGCCGTGCCTGCCGGCACGCCCCGTGCCGAAGAAGACGTCGCCGCCGCCTCCCCAGCCGCCGGCTGCTGGTAAACCCGAGAAGCAGAATCAGCGGGGTGTTTCCAATGGCCCTGAGCAGAAGACGTTGACTTTGAGAACTGGGTCTGAACCGAATGGTGTCAGCTCCGCAGCGCCACCACCGTCCTCTAGGAAGCCTTCTTCGGGTTCTAAGAGGTCTGTGGAACGGTGGAGGCCTCTGAAGTTCGTCTACGATCATGACATTAGGCTTGCCCAGATGCCAGAGGACTGCAGTTTCAGGGTCTTGAGGGAGATTGTCTCGAAAAGGTTCCCCTCGTCCAAGTCGGTGCTCATCAAGTACAGGGATGCCGAAGGCGACCTTGTGACCGTGACCAGCACTGGCGAACTCAGGCTAGCGAAGTCGTGCCTCGATCAGGTTGCTTCAAAAGAGGGTCATACAGCTCCTGAAACGGGGAAGGAGGAGGCTCTGCCGATGCTAAGGCTACACATTGTTGAGGTGAGCCCTGAGCAGGAGCCACCTCTTATTGAAGAAGAAGAAGAAGAAGAAGAAGAAGAAGCGGAAGAGGAAGAGGAAGAGGAAGAAGAGGAGGAGGAGGAGAAGCCCGTGGAAGCACACAGCGGGGAGGCGACCCAGGAGCCGGAGAGCCAATCGCAAACTCCGGTGGGTGATTCAGCTGTGGAGAATGGGAATGAAGATGCACAAATCTTAGAAAATGGCGACCCAAAGGAAGAAGTATCGAAAGAGAAGGCTGGAAAGAAAGAAGGGCATGACGCAGATTGCAAGGAGGTAGAGATTGACGACTGGCTGTTTGAGTTTGCTCAGCTTTTCCGCACTCAAGTTGGCATCGACCCTGACGCCCATCTGGACTTGCATGAGCTTGGGATGGAGCTGTGCTCTGAGGCCCTCGAGGAGACGGTGACCAGTGAAGAGGCCCAGGAGCTCTTCGAAATTGCTGCTTCCAAGTTCCAGGAGGTGGCTGCTCTGGCGTTCTTCAATTGGGGGAACGTCCACATGTGTGCGGCGAGAAAGCGCATTCCTTTGGACAACACTGCCGCCAAAGATCTCGTCACCGCCCAGCTGCAGTCTGCTTATGATTGGGTGCAGGGCCGGTACGTTCTCGCTGGTGAGAAGTATGAAGAGGCCCTTCGAATTAAGCCAGACTTTTACGAGGGTCTGCTCGCATTGGGGCAGCAGCATTTCGAGACTGCGAAGCTGCAGTGGTCATTTGCTCTTGCTAACAAAGTCGAACTCGCCTCCTGGGACTCCTCCAAGACAATCGAGCTCTTTGATACTGCTGAAGAGAAGATGAAGGCAGCTAGCGCGATGTGGGAGAAGCTGGAAGAGCAGAGAGCTACCGAGCTGAAGGATCCCGTCGCAAGCAAAAGAGAGGAGATCTTGAAGAGAAGGAAGAAGACCGGGGCCGCCGGGACTGATGCGTTGAGCGGTGAGCCAGAGCTAACCGTGGAGGAGTCGGCAGAGCAGGCCACCGTCATGAGGTCTCAGATACACCTCTTCTGGGGAAACATGCTTTTCGAGCGTTCGCAGGTGGAGTTCAAGCTCGAAGTGGGTGACTGGAAGAAGAATCTTGATGCGGCAGTGGAGAGGTTCAAGCTCGCGGGTGCATCTGAAGAAGATATTTCTGTCGTTCTGAAGAACCATTCATCCAATGTTATTGGAGCAGAGGATGAGAAGAAGGTGACCACTTACTCGAGCACCAGCGGGTCTGAGACTGGTGCGAAAGACGAAGACAAGCATGTTCTTGAGAGCTGATCTCTAAAGCTCATTATGATATTTGGGGATGCCGAGGAAGTCCGTCCATCTGTGCCCACTTTCACACAAGGAGTCAGTTGATGCTGGGAAAAATCCTGGCAATTCTTGCTCTTCCATTCATATGTTGGATACCTGCTTGAGGTCTGAAATCTGCCATGGCAAGGCGGCTTTCCCCGTATAAAGTTTGCAATTTTGCGCGCTTCTTGTCAGCCATTTTTCGTCGACCCATCTCCTTGATCTCTGTCACATTGGCATTATGTAACGATCAGAACCTGAGACCAGATCTCATCTGATATAATCTGTTAGCCTGGGTCAATCGACTAATGATCGTTAGATGATTTTCAGTGCTAGCCCTCTTGATTTGATTGCCTTCAGTTGCTCTCCATTGATGCAAACAAATCACAAAACCTGATTGACTGATAATACTCATTTATCTGAATTGCTGCAGTTTCGACTCTGGATTATAAGATTGCCCACCTATCCTATGAGTAGATGATTAGAATTTTCATGAAATATGCTCTTTTTTCTTTTCCCGCAATAGGAAGTGTTTGACTTTGCGACGTTCTAGTCAGGAACCAGACCTTATGAGCACAGAAAACAATAATCTAGTGTTTTTTTTTCGAATTAAAAACATTTTTCCGCGCAAGTCGGTGCCTTTATTTTTCTTTAATGAATAAAGCTGTGTATGGGTCAATTCACTGCCTTGCCCAAGACTGTGATCCACAACCTTCGTGTGAAAACAGGCAATCTTATACCTTCGTGTGTGAAACCAACCTTCGTGTTAGCCATTGTTCTTATACCCTTCGTTTTCTTCTCATTTTCTTGATGAAGTAATCAATCATCCTGTTGCCCTTTTGGCTAATTGATGGGTCAGATATTTCTTCAATCAATGTTAGTCCAATCTGCATTATAATATATAAGCCTTCATAAGGATCTTGGAGTTACTTTTTCTTTTTTTTTTCAGATTTGGCATTTTCAAGGGATCCCTGGAGATATCGACTTGCTTGTTCAATCTCTTGGAAACCTGAGGCACATTAAAATCTGGATCAGAGTAAGAGTACAATAAAATTATATTTACTCATCTAATCCGAGGGTTCTTTGCATCTGCCAAAACTTGAAATAGAACAAGGGAAGATTCTTGATTTACAGAAAGAGTGATTCTCCATTTCTCCCCTAAGAGCCCACCAGAAGGTGCCTTGAACCAGAGACGGTATAAAATGCTTCTATGGTGCGTCCATAGTTTCGCCTATAGTTAGTGCTTGTTTGCATGAGAAGAGCAATTGTCAATCCCTAACAGTTCACCACATCCTAGAGAACAGGGAATAGTCACTTGACCTAAGAAAAGAACACGCACTTGGGCCTGAGAAGCTGTTGAACACTCGCTCATTTTATCTATTACGCCTTTTGAAAGGTCAAAAGTTGAAGCAATTATATTGCGTAGGTTGAAGTGTAGTAGTTCTGAGTCCTTTTATCCCAAAGAAATCATTCTCATGACCTGCTCTTGTTTCATTGTAGCAGTGAGTTGACATGACCAATAGAACATTTAACATAATAAACCATCACAACCTAGTAGTTTAATGTATCAAATCCAATGCTGTATTGTGATGTTTTGAATTAAATAGCGACCAAAGAGACCTAAATATTATTGCCATTATAGTTCCAGTGGGGATTGTTCTGTAGTCATTCAAACTTAGCACCCAATGGGAATTTAAATGCTTTCACGAACTAAAGTTTACAAAATACGATACCTCTCTCAACAGCTCACGAAATGCCAAACTGCACTGCCCAGGGTTCAAGTAGGGTACTCGTAAGCATTTCTTCGATCTAAATTTCATTCACTTGTTCTTTTGAGGTTCGTAGGTCATGCTCGATTAGCAGACACTCATTGCCCTCAAGAACTACTGAATATTTTTCTCCGGCGAACCGTAAAAATCGGAACGACAATTGAAACTTTCGCCGCGCAAATTTCTCAGCTACAGAATGTTTTAAACTAATCAGCTTAAACTCCGAATTCCATACGCCTACTGTGAGGTGACGTAGAGAGTGAATCCAAGACTTCGGAGGTCTCAACTGAGTAAGACTGCCATCGGACTCTGTTGAATTGGTCACGCCCATGCATTATGTCCATTAATAAGTGATACCAACGCCAGCAGAACGAAATCAGTGCGAAAACATTCCTCACGAAGAAGAAAGGAAGACAACATCGCCAAAAAAAGTCGTGAAGTACCATAAAGTCGATCGACGCAGGATCCATGAAGCCCTAGCCTTGCTCAGAGAAATGTGACAGATAGAACCAGTAACCGTCCCTCAATCAACGAAAAGGCGAGAACGATGATGAAAACGGATAGGAAAATGTCGTCGAGCAACAATCTAATCGCCCACAAGGAAGTGGCGACTGAAACGATATCTCGACTTGTCGATTTTCCTCTGGTCCTGTCCAGAAGGAGAGACGCCACGATCGGGCAACTCCCTGCATTTCAAGATGACACAGAGGAGAAGATTTCACAGAATACGAGCTGCCTCCCTCCATTGTAACCCTAATTACTGTAACCCGTCGAGCTGTCTTCTCTCTCTTCCCTCCTCTTCGCCGTCATCCTTCTATGAAACCCTAAGTTACAATACCCCATTTATAGCGCAAATTCCAGCGACCTGTATCTAGTATACCCCTGAACGTACAGTTAATTACGGAAAAGTCAAAAAACGAGTTAGGGTTGGCCGGTCTACGTGGCATGTAAAGACAATCCTCACTGATCCAGCTGGCAGAACCGACGGATTACGGACCACCACGTGGTGGAAGTACACCGAATGAAACTATATAAAAATTAGTAAGATTAGCGTATTATCACATTAATAATGTAATTAAATATTAACAACCGGCAGACTGTTTTCGGTAAGCTCTCTCACCAACCCACACTGGTTCTCTCTCTTACACTCTCTTTCTCTCCCTCTCTAACTGCAACCGGCCCCCACCACTGCTCTTATAGCAGCAATAAAGAGAAAGGACGGCTAAATTACAAGAGAGAAACGCCGCTAGCCGTTAAAAGCCGCGTCAACCGGCTGTCGCCGGTCTCCCGACGCCGTCAGTGACCCGCCGGCAGCTCGCACTCCCCAAACCCTGCAAAGGCAGTAAAAAGAGAGAGATTAACATGACGGGAGATCAAAAGGGCCGAGCCAGCCCTAAGCCCATCCCGAAACCCGGCCCGTTCTTTATGGTGACAAACCGCAGAAGTACACGGGCCGGGCCGGACCTATTGGGCCCGATAGAGAAGGGAGAGAGAGAGAGCGGCGCTCGGATGTGTCAACATCATCTCTTGGTCCCCCCCCCCCTTCGTGACAGAAGCCACGTGACCTCTCTCACTCTAAAAAGGAGATCTTGCAGGATCTTTGGCCTCACTGTCTGTCTGCCAGTGAATGCGCTGATCAGGTTGGTCGTCTTCTGCTAGGCATTTGATCGAACAGAAAGAAAGAGAAGCCGGAGGAAGAAGATGGTCATGGCGGAGGAACTCACTCGGGGGCTGGCTGACGACCATGGCGGCGCCCTGGAAGTCGCAGGTCCCGGCGCTGCGGCGGCGCTTCTGGTAGTAGCTGTTGAAGGCGAACGACGCGTGCGCCTCCAAGGTGTTCGGGCTGTAGCAGGCCTCCCCCGGCTGTATGGCAGCGCAGTCGGCACCGCCCTCTCCGCAGGCATAGTCCAGCGCCTGCTGCAGCCTCTCCGCTCCCACCTTCGCGTCCGCCACGCACCACGACGCCCCCGCCGCGGCGCCGGCGGAGCTCGCTGAGACGCTCCCCTGGTCATGGCTGCGGTCGCCGCCGCCGCCGCCGCCGCCGCTGCTACCGCCGCTGCTCCTCCCCTTCTGGTCCCTCCTGACGGTGACCCCATGAAGCTGGAACTGCACGTCGTAGACTTTCCCTTCGTTAGGGTAGAAGAGGCCATAGTTCCTCTCCGAGGTCGGCCCGGGCTTCTGGTTCTCGTTGAACAGCGCGAAAAGGTACACGCCGAGCTCCGCATTGGGCCGCGCCGGCGTGCCGGCGTTCCCCGTCAGGACGCGCCGCGCGAGGTTGCCGTTGTAGGCCGCGGCATTCTCCGCGCTTGCCCCGTTCTCACCGGCGTCGCCCTTTGACGGCCACCCGGTCTCCGAGACCACCACCCGCACGCCGCTGTGGCCGAGTGCTTTCGCGGCGGCGAAGACGGCGTCGAGCTGCGCGTCGAGCAGGTTGTAGTAGCGGAGCCCGCTATGGGCGTCGACCACGCCGGCGTTGGGCCGGAAGAGCGCGTAGTCGAGGGAGATGACGTCGGAGTTGCCGGCGTAGGCGAAGAAGGGGTAGGCGTTCACCATGAGGAAGGAACCCGTCTCGCTGAGTAGATCCAGCATCGGCCGCATCACCGACTCTGCCAGATCAGGGCGGAAGGCGCCAGCGGAGGAGGGATAGGAGGTCTGCAGGGCTGTGAGGGCGATCGGGGAGGAGACCTTTACGGTGCTGTCGATGCGCAGGCGGACCAGGGCGGCGTGGAGGTTCCGCATTGCCGGAACCAGCGCCGGGGTGAGGGACTTCGCCGCCGGCGAGGCGAAGACCTCGTTGCCCACGGCGATGGCGCGGATCTGCGTAGCCGGAAGCCAGGCGGCGACATTGGTCTTTACCCAGGAGAAGGCGAAGGAGGGACGGGACGCGGCGGCGGGGAGGAGCTCGTTGGGGAGGGCGACCACCACGCCGATGCCGGACTTGGAGAGGGCAGAGAGGACCGCCGGATCGGCGTCGTAGAGCTTCACCTCCGTGACGCCGTAGGATCTGAGCAGTGCCACCACCTTCGCCGGCGGAGGGAGGTTGTTCGCCACCCGTCCGTAGTTCACCCCGACGAAACCTCCCGCGGAGATACATGGCGCCGCCAGCAGGAGGAAGAAGACGCACCAGAGCGGGCGGCGGAAGGCGGACCGAGGCGGCGGCGGCGGCGCCATGGCTGTTCTTCACGGCTGCTGAGGAGCTCAGCAGCTGCGGCAGCAGAGGGTGTGAGGAGACGGCAATGGGAAGGAGAAGGGCTCGTCTTTTTATAACAGGGAACGTGTCGAGATGGATGGGGCCCACAAAGAGGCGAACGCCGTAAAAAACCACTACATCGTTGCAGTCAACGCCGCCGTTCTTCCGTTCGTTCTACCATGGCCACGTACCCCACGTAAAAAACTACTGTAAGATTGTTTTATGGCAGTTGGCTCGGTTGGGGGATACGTGGCCTGGCATTGGCGAGGGTTTGCCGGAAACACGACCGCCCCGGGTTCCCGCGCCACGAGAAGAGAGAGAGAGAAAGTGGGGGAGAGGCATGCGGCAGAGGTGGGGCCCACGACGGGTCCAAAATCGACCGTTTCGATCGAGGGGCGTCACGTGGTTGGTCAACAACGGTTCTTTTTGGCTGATTAAATAATATAAAATGCTTAATTATCACCATTTCTTTTGCGGACGATTTTATATTTAATGCCAAATAATATATACTTTCATATACTAGAACAGGGGCCTAATACAATTTTAATTTCGGCATTATATACGGCGTGTGACCCATGGGAGCTGGGACACGTCAGCCACTTGTGTCTGAGGTGGGCCAGGTGGCATTAATATAGGGGAAGCTCGGCCCGGCCCAAAATAATTCTGGGCCCAGCCCAGCCCACCCCATAAAATTATCTGGGTGGAGAAGAAGCCCATCCACCGTTCGCCTCGAAGGCGTCACCCAGGACCGTTAGTTCGTCAAGCCTGGACGTTACACTCTCCTCCATCGCTCTCTTTCCCTCTGGGCCATTTTTTCAGAAAAAAAATGCGGCAGACCAGTCAAGAACGCGATAGAGAGAGAAAGCTAAGCCGCCCTCCTCTCCCTTTCTCTCTCTCTCTCTCTCTCTATCTTCTCCGGGCAAATTTAGGGGAGAAAAATGAGATGAGGGGCAAGCAAACTCTCTAGGGAGGGAGAGAAGGAAAACAACCAATAGAGAGGAGATAGAGAGGAAGGAAGGGAGAGGAGGGACGGAGCCGGAGGGGAAGGGAAGGATTCACCGGCGTTCTGCCATGTACGCCGGCGACGGCGAGGAAGAAGAGGATCGGACGACCCAGTACAGGAGGGACCGTCCGGCAAGAGGAGGAAGGACCAAGTCATACACCCGCTGCGTCTCCTTACCAAACGACGACCTCCAAAGCTTCCGCTCATGGCTCCAGTGGATGTGCGTTGACCAGTCGAGCTTCTGGCGCGCGGCCCTCTCGTGGATTGTCTTCCTCACCCTCTCCGTCGCCGTGCCCCTCGTCTCCCACTTCGTTCTCCTCACGGACTCCGACAAGGAAGCGCAGCGGCGGCGCGCCAGCTACGACGCCGTCGTCCAGCTCTCTCTCTCCTCCGTCGCCGCCCTCTCCTTCATCTGTCTCTCCACCTTCTTCCGCCGCTATGGGCACCGCCGATTCCTCTCCCTCGACAAGCTCTGCCGCGAGAGCGAGGCCGTCAGGAGTGGCTACACCGCTCAGCTTAACGTAAGCCTCCTCTCTCTCTCTCTCCCCCCCTTCACTTCCCCCTCGGATCGCACCTTCTCTCTTCTGATAATTACACGACGATGAACCCCTGTGATGAACTCGCCCGATCTGGTTCTCCGTGGCCAGCTCTAAATCAGGAAATCTCCCCGTTTTCTTTATGAAGGCAATATCACGTCACTGTCTTAAAAATTTAGTATCCCTTGTCGTCTCGCGAGGAGATGACCTTCACTGGTTGGCCTGGACCCTACAAGAAAACGTGACGTCAGCCCAGCGGAGATATCTAACAACCGGCCGGGCCCTAAGATCCTATTCCCACATCGCCACCAGCTTCCATCCTTGGTCAAAACACATGGCTTCCACGCTGTCTTCCTGCCCCTCAAGCCAACGTTATTTTCCAAATTTGGGCTAATCATTTGGAGGCATTCAAGAAGGGGATCTTCACGAACCCTTTCCGACGAGACAGCAGGTGTTGAAGGTCCCAATATAAGGTTAGGCTTGGGCTTGGGCATCGACCATGGAGGACAGGCAGGTTGCGGCCGATGCCATCCTCCTCTCATAATGATGAGGGCGAAGGGATCGATTTCCGCCGAAGAGGATGAATAAAAAAGTGCCCTTGAGATGATCTACAACGACCTTCCAGGGTAGCCCTCCATCACTCAGTTTAGTGAGAAGGTCAGGTTTGTGTTGCAGTCTGCTACAACCTTGGTGCAATATTTTTAACCAACGTGAGAGGGTTGTGCCCTCCTGTTGAATCAAGTGGGGGGAAAAATTATGTCCCGGAAGGCATTCATTATCTTCGGCAATTTTTCTCTCCCTAAGATAATTTCTTGTTTTCAGAGTTGCGGGCTACACCTGAACTATCAAACAATATCATAGTCACTATATATCTTGACACCTTTGTTATTATTCTATATGATTCTTTGATTTCATACCCTTTCTTCCTGCTACTTATTTCCTAGTTTCGCTTCTCTTCTCTACATTTTTTTAAAAAATGTATATGAATTAACACCATCCAAACGAGGTTGTATGATTTTGAATGCATATGTTGAATTGCCAAAGAATCTTAGCATACTTGTTTTCCATGAATAAAGAACTATAATTAGCTTTTTAGTGGATCTATGGAAGTAGATAAATCAAGAACTCAATCACATTTCAACTACCTTTATCACGGGATTGAAACGAAGCGATTATTATCTCATTCATAAGTTCGGAATGTGATGTGAAGGCAAGTGATTAAGAAAGATGATGGAATATGACAAGTGCCCTTACTTTTGATCCGTATGGATCTGGGATGATGATGATGAATGTGGCATCGTTAGGAACTTGACTTCTGAATTTTCAAAAGCATATCAAATTACTGGATGAGGTTTTTACGGATTACTGAGATGTGCTTGAGGCCAATCAGAGATTGTTGTCCCCCATAGATATTCAAGGATATGAGTGAAAAAACACACTCTAGCGACTTTCATAAAATCATGAATAAATTTGAAGAATTAAAATGATTATCCGCTCAATTTATTTTTCTGGAACACAAAACTGATTTTGATAGGTGAAAAATGAAGAAGCGTGGAAATCCGTGACTAGCTTATTCTGACAGTTGAAGAGGTAGACGAGGTAAGGATGACCATTTGTTGCCGTTGACGATGCAGTAGGCTCAACCGATGATCGTTCTTGCTTCGGATTATGAGCAGACATGGGGCTGTTCTTCTGTCCCGTGGATCCGATTGTCTAAAGCAAACATGGTTGTGATTCATGCCCGTCAGCCTGCCGCTTTATCATCTGAAAACCTTAACTTTATCATCTGTACACTCGTTGCTGAAGAGAGTACCAAAGAGTAAGATGAATTTTCTCCTTGACGATCGTCGTTATTTCAACCTATGATTGTTATTCTTTGGGCTTTGGCAGAGGTCCTTCAAGCTGCTGTCGATGTTTGTGGCGCCATGTTTTGTGATAGAGACCGGATACAAAGTCTGGTGGTACATCGCTGGAGCTCGACGTATCCCCTTCCTGGGAAACCCCTACGTGAGCGACGTAGTGGCGTGTGCATTTGAGCTCTGCTCATGGCTGTACAGGACGGCCATATTCTTTCTAGTTTGCCTGCTCTTCCGCCTCATCTGCTTCCTCCAGATCCTTCGTCTCCAGGACTTCGCCCTCGTCTTCGAGGATTCCGACGTTGCCTTCATCCTTGCGGAGCACCTCCGCATCCGCCGGCAGCTCCGTGTCATCAGCCATCGCTTCCGCTTCTTCATCGTCTCCTGTCTCGTCCTTGTCACCCTCTCCCAACTCGCCTCCCTCCTCCACACCACCCGCTCCGACGTTGTGGTCGATCTCTTGAACGCCGGCGAGCTAACGGTACGACCATCACTCTGCTTCCTCCATTCATCATGTTCGTTACTTTTTCTGTGTTCATGAAATCGTCTGCTTGACTTTGGTATGATGCTTATAGGGCTCTCGTTAAAATCTTACACCTTGAGAAGAACCCTGGCCTTTTTCTGGATATCAGCATGCTTCTCCCTCCTCTCCCGTTTGGCTTCTTCGTGTTTATGCCTGTCGTCTTTCCTTTTCACTAGGAACATGTTGTGCATCTTTCATGGCCCTAAACACTAAGAATAAGGATGCCCTTAACGATCATTGCTTCTTCTCTATTTTATGTTTAGATGACAGGGTGGATCTCCTTCCCCCATCCTCCAGTCCTACGCAAAAGGAGCCATGGCTTATTGCCATGACTTTGATCGTCAGCAACGTTCCCCCTAGGTTAGAGACATAATTTCTTCATTCTGGGTGAATCGCAGCCAGGCGCTCCCAGCTTAACCAATATGGATGGGGAACACGATCTCAGACTAACATTTTGGTGACGGTACGAAGAGGGAGATTGCTCAAGAAGATGAAATAATGGGACAAGGTCAAACCCTGAGAGACGCGACTTTTTCATGTGATCGGTGGCGTTGGATGGAGCTGTGACTTTGGAAATATTCTAGTTCCGAACTACTTAGAAAATAGGCGAACGTAGACTAGAAAGATTAGGGACAGGTGGAGAGTAGTATAACAAATAAGCCTAGGGCTTTTGGTTCTTCTTCTTCATCATCTGATCTTTTGGACTTGTCATACTATCGGCCTTATTGAGATTTATGTTGTGGAATCTCTGCATGGCTTCTCCTGTTGCGATATCTGGTGAAAGAGGATCTTTGATCCTGGCAGATATGCTCTCTGGTGTTGGTGGCGGGGATCCTACTTTGCTTGAGAAGTGCTGCCAAGATTACCCATAAAGCTCAAGCCATCACCAGCCATGCTGCCAAGTGGCACGCGTTCGCCACCATTGACTCCTGCGACGAGGGTTCCAACCGCATTCATCCTGTGGACAATCTCGATGAGTCGTCGGACTACGAAGAGCTCGGTGACGACGATGACCTTGAAGACACCAAGATCCTCCAGCCCCGTGCAAACATCATGTCCTTTCAGAAGAGGCAGGCGCTGGGTGAGCACCCGTCTCGACTTCGTCTTCAATGGCTTCTTGCTGCGTAAATAACGAGAGCCTGACGCAGAGAGCTTCATGCTGGGTGCAGTGACGTATCTGGAGAACAACAGAGCGGGCATCACGGTGTTCGGCTTCATGGTTGACCGGGCATGGCTGCATATGATCTTCGGCGTCGAGTTGTCGCTCGTCCTGTGGCTACTGGGGAAGACGGTCGGCATAAGCCGCAATATGACCTCCCTCATCTGCCACTAATAGGGCTTGGCGTGTATATTGATTCCTATTCTTTTTGTCTATCTTCTTGGGTGCCTGTGGAAGTGGCTCGTTACTTTTGCCGACCGAACAGGCTTCGAAGTCGTCTCTGGGCCTAACGAGTGGACAGCAGGCTGCGCCGGAAGGGGAACCGCTTCAGGAGTGTGCTATTGAGGCGGGCGAGCACTTGTTGATTAGCCAGATGATCAAGAAACCCAAAAGACATGTTGAGAAGGCGAGGGTGAGATTGGTTAGAGAGAGAGAGAGAGAGAGAGAGGGGACAAGCATCGGGTCTGGCCAATTTTCACTTTTAACCTTAACCATGGGATTGAAGCCTAATAAATGTAAGATAGAGTTGGGCTCTACATAAGTATTTTCATAAAAATATGAAGCCAGGTCGAGGTTTAATACTCATTAAAGTCACATTACCCGCTCTCAATTTAAGTTGCAAGTAGAAGGCATGGTTATTGCAACAACTCCAATGATGTAATAGGTAAATCGATGACGATCTAATCGTGAGTTTTAGGTGATGGTTAGTCTAATTTTATCTACCGCACTCTACTTGTGATGGGATTGGTCATCTTTGGTGACACCAAGCAGCCTACAAGACGTGTAAGTACTTAACGGGTAGTGTGCTCCTCTGACATAAAATTACACTATGGAGCGGAGGCCAGCTTACTCAACTAGCCCACAAGTTTCTTTCATTTATATGGAAGAACCCTCATGACTTTTCCTTAGTTACCCTGAGGATTAGCTCGCCCAAATCCTTGACTGAACAGCTTCACAATGTGGAGTTCGACGATTATGATTGCAACTATCCCTTTGATAGGGCAGTGCAGCAATTTCCTTTATAAGATAGTTAAACATCTTGTTAACCCTGTTTCACTACCATGCGTACGCTTACTTGTGAGCAGTGTCACCTCATGTCATTTGTGCATCGGTTATGTTACATTTCGCTATGCCATGCTGTTTTGTGCCAATGCCATGACATGGTGTCTTGCTTCATGACAATGACATCTAAGGTTCGCAAAAAGCTTCCATGAACCTTCTTCTATCTTGATGGAGTTGTTTGTCCGAGTCACACATATTCATGTAGGAGTCTCTTGGGCTGTGAACGTGCCATGCCATGGCAGCATATACAACCTATTTATGTCGATGGGGTGCCTCCCCTAAACCCACTATGCTCTGCATGTGTTGGACCATGCCATCGCACGTGTGCCCACACAAGCTCATGTCGATGGTGAGGTCTATGACGCAAAACCTCATTCCTCCATGCAAGGAATGTGATGTGGGTCTAGGATTGGGAGAGGATCAAAGTGGTAGAAGATGGATGCACAAGTGGGCAAAATAGAGTGAGAGAGAGAGAAAAGGAGAGGGAGAGATATCAGGGGGAGATATATAGTTAGAGATCTGTGTGCGAGAGAAAGAGAGGATGAATCATATATAGAATACTAGTAAAAAAAATTGGGATAGGCGTAGAAATTGTTTGCTATATATATATACCTTCAAAATCTGAAAGTGTGGAGTAAAAAAGTTTGAAGTTCCAAAATATATCCAAACACTCAAATCTAGCTTAGCAGGTCCGAGCTGAATAGATGAGATGTTATTCTCATGGAACTAGTAAGTGTTTTCTTTTGCAACCGATCATTTGGTTTTGGTAGGACGCCTCGTAAAACTTAATGGGCCTGACAAAAAAGGAGCGTTCCTGAATTCTCTTCATTCCCCGCGCTCATACTGGGTGGCGTATGAACGTACCATATCCGAGACAAGCCCGCATTAGTCCCAAATGGGGGGACTTTCGTATAGCTGAAAGGATTATTTGGGTTAGAATCAAATGGGTGTTAGCTTTACGAGGCATCCTATAATGCTCTCATCAGTAGAGGGTATTCTCCGAATTCCCTGGGGGCTGGAAAACGATGGAAAAGTCTATGTTGACCGAAAAATTGAGGATCTTTGCCCGAATTCCGTCGTATAAATATCACTCAGAGGCGGCGAAACTCGAATTCTCCTCGTCGTGCTTTTCTTTCCGGGTCTGCCGTGCGTTTGTAGGAGGTTTCTTCTGCTAGGTGGGCAGAGGGGGGAAACGGAGAGAAGACATGGGCACCGCCGCTCTTTCGTCTCCCCCTCGTGCCTTGTCAATGGGTGCTGCTCCACCCCGCACAAGGATCACCGGGTGTCCCATCTCCGCTGCGATTGTCTTCAACCCGTTTTCGCACAATTCGCTTTCTCTCGCTTCTAAGCCTCCGTTGCCGCCCAGATGGTTTCTGCGTTCGAGGTATTCAGTCTTTGATATATGCTGAATTCAAATGTTGCAATTATGGCAAGTACCAACGACAACGTTATATTGAGTAAGAAAAATTCTGAAGACGAGTGCATTTGGGGAGGACCGGCGTTATTGCCTTACACTGAACAGACTATTATACCAATTTCTGTCAACGTTCTAAAGGAATTTTCGGGTGGAGGGAAGTTTTAAGCTCATTGGTGCAGTGTTTACTATGGCTCATTGTTCCTTGGCCTTCTCGTCATCTGAATCACCGTTTTCCATACGGAACTTGTTCGAATCCTTATCCTTATTTTCTGCTCTTTTAGGAGATCCTGTTATATCTAACAATCTGTTCTAGGTCTTTCGTATTCTATAGACTAATCGGGTATAAATATCTTCTTCAGTGTGTGGTTCGAGTTTTCTTTTTTTCATTGGTTTCTTTCCATTTCTCTCAATAAATTCAGAACTTATTTTGTGACCTCAAAATCATCTATGACTGGGGAAAGGCTCTTCTGAATAATGTTTCTTCTGTGGATGCTCGTGTCATGCATTTCCTTTTTACTCTGCCGTGGTGCCACACCAGAAGTCCTTCGCTTGTTCTTGTGCTTCTTCCTTCTCCGATGTATTTCATATCTTAGAAGTTCACGTATGGATCTGTATGCTTTATACTGGGCAATTTTAGCGGTTTTACAAAGGGACCCTTTAAAATATAATCCACATTGTGGTCGGATTCTTTATTCCTTCTAAAAATAATTGGTCTCCTATTCTTCTAAATTTGGTTATTTTGTTTTTAGGCTTAGAAAATCATTTCAGATTGGGGCTACAAGTTTGAATGAAAAGGAGAAGGTCAGTCTGGATGATTTCGATGTGATGAAGAGCTTTCCTGTTCATGATGCCAGTCAGGGTACTGCGGATTCACTAAGTGATACACCTGGCGTTTTTGAGACATGGGCCATCAAGTCTGAGCAGTTAGTGAATGTTGCCCTTACTGTACGTGTTTTCCTGCACTCTCATTCGTTAACTTCATCAATGATATTGGTAATGCGTACGAGTGTTTAATAAGACAAACTGTTTTTACCATACAACCTCACAAAAGTTTATTCATTTGTGAAACGTCTTGTTATTCTGGTAAAATAAAATTCTATACACATTGACAAATTTATATTGGCTAATATTAATCTTGCTGTACAGGATTCAGTTATCAAGATCCTAGATGCTTTCTATCATGATAGGCACTATGCAAGGTTCTATGTATTGGAAACTATTGCGAGGGTGCCCTACTTTGGTAAGTCTGCATGTGAATCCGCACAAATGGATGTGCTTTTCTCTCTTTGAAAAATTATTCCATTTCTCTTTATTTAATTTTCTGCAGCGCCATTTTTTTCGAACTTTCGTAATTCATTTTCAGTGAATTTTTTTCACTGAGTGAATTACCTAACTAATTAATTTCCCTACACTTGTGATTACTGGTTATTTTATCTTGGGCCAAGTTGCTGAAAGCCTTCTCTATTTTGCACGGCAGCCTTTATATCAGTTCTGCATTTGTATGAGAGCTTTGGGTGGTGGAGAAGAGCAGATTATCTGAAAGTGCATTTTGCTGAAAGCTGGAACGAGCTACATCACTTGCTAATCATGGAGGTCTCATTTTGCCCATTTGATTCTGTTTCTTTTCCTTTTCCTTTACTATTGTTATATAAATATGTGCATCTGTCATGAAATAGTAGGAACTTCTATCTTTAAACAGTCAAGAAGAGATACGTTCTAGTATCATGGATGTTCTAACCCTAGTCTATGAAATATAACATTATTTGAAGTACAAATCCACCAGTCTTCCTTTCCTTAAGTAGTTGCTATTCTCTCCTCTCTTCCCTTGTACGGAATTTAGAAAACTCTTTCACTTAAAAAATAGAAACAGCACACAAAATGGGTATATTTTCAATGAGATTTCCATTCTCACTTCTGATCTTTTCCCTCTTTGTAGCTTGAGTCATCCCGCACGGAAGTCTCCTCTTCTGTGGTTACCATCCCGCACTCTTAAACGAAAACTGTGCAGCTTCCATGAAATAATGACTGGAATAGGCTCAAGGATGAATGGAAATTTTCCTTACACCTTTATGATCAAGGGAATCTATCTGAATCTTATTTAGCATGAAAAGTGAAGACTGAGACACGTTTTGTTAGGCTTTTTATTTCCCAGTTTTTGGAAAAGCTTCAGTAATAATCTACTCAAAAAGTTCGGCAAGCTGATGATATCATTTTTTTTTCCAATATGATTTCATTTGTCTAAGAATCTTATAAATCAGCCAGTTTGTATTCTTTGAGTTGGAGCCGTCACACTGGCTACTTAGTATTTTTAATATTGTAGCTTTTTCTTTCTTTCTCTTTCTTTGCAGGAACTCGGAGGGAATGCTCTGTGGTTTGACAGACTCCTTGCCCAGCATATTGCAATCTTTTATTACTTCATGACCGTTTTTATGTATGCTCTGAGCCCGAGAATGGCATGTAAGTAATACAATATGCAATGGCACATTCATTGAGCCTTTTCACTTATACTCATAACATGTTTGATTAGAAATATTGTACAAAATGTTGGATTGTGCATATATTTGCAGGCGATATTTAGAAATGAATTAAACCACTAGCTTTTATCTGAGTCATGGAAAATGATACGCATTAAAAGGGAACAGACTTATGCAGTCGACTAGGAAGAGGTAGGATACAAAGATGAAATGCCACTAACTCATTCACAGTTGTGGCCATCAAAATTTGAGACCTGAATGATATGTGGGTATATCTAGCAAAAAGATCAGGACATAGGTTCAAAATGATGAGAAGGAGGTTGGTGGGTTTTGGATTGTGAAAAAAGTGGTTGACGTTTGAATGACACAGACCAGATGTTGCAGAGGTCAATTGGAAGGTCACAAGAATGGAGTGAGATGGAGCGTGTATCTCAATGATGTAATGATATGCAAGCGAGTTCTGCTTCGTGTAACCTGTACCAACTCTGATTTTCACTATCCATTTACGGAACCAGTTTTATGCTGAGAGATGGAAACAGCTTCTGCTTAGTCTAATCAAGACCAATTCTGATTGTACTATCCATCTATGAGAACCATACGAAGCTTTTCTGGAAACTTTTATTAACGGATTACCACCTGTTGCTTAAAGTGGGCTGGAGGAGTAGAACAAAGTGTTGTGCTAGGTCATGGTTATAATCATGTAATGGGTGTCCATGGGGAAGGCTTTGTGTTCTAAGCAAATGGCGAGTCTCCTTCAGTACACATATCCATTTTGCTCTTGGTAATTTGTGATCTGTGATGGATTACTCTGACTTCTTTTTCATGGGTGACCATGATTTCTCATGCCAAATACGTTGATGTTTGAGTGATGGTATGACGCAAACTGCTTGAAACATCCCTTACTGATGGTCCATTATATTCCATCTGATTTTTATATGGAATACTCATGCCACATGTTTGGATCTTCACAACAATCATATGAATACTTATTAGATTCCGTATTATCATGCTATACCCCGTCTCATCTTTTATCTAACTTTATTTATTTTAGTGAATTTATAATGCACGCATTACACATGCTTGAATATTAGTTCAATTAATTCTGTGGAAGATTTGTGAAGGTCATTAATAATGTAACGAATAGAATGATTTATTTTGCTTTTTATCAGTGTTTATTTATAGATGATGTTTTGTCATTTACCACCTTTATTTTGTGGGAGCTGAGTGATTTCATTCATGCTAAGTCAAAGTTGCATCTTGATCAGTTTGCCCTTTATGGCTTGGTTTTTAGATTATTTAGTTTTAGCTTTCTTGGAAACTAGTTGAATTAGTGATGAGCGCTCTTTGTTAGTCATCTAAGTCCCCAAACGTTATTATACTCCTATTTTTTAGTCTCAGAGTCTAATCATGTACCTAGCATCTAATTTAAGCAAAAAAGAATAAACTATCCTCATAATTTATTCAACTTTTCTCTCGATCTGCTTACTTCTGCTGGGCGACGAGAATGCTAGAGTTGTGGCAGCCCTAGTCATGGGCCAGTGGCCCTTCTCTTTTGGGTCCATTGGTGCCGTATTCTTGCTTCCATCCCCTCTCCAGACCGGAGGACAGAGAGAGAGAGGCCCCGTTTCCACTGTTACCCCATCTTCCCACCACCGTCCCCTTGCTGGACAGAAGAGCATGAAAGAGAGAGGAAGGGAGGGAGAGATGAAGGGTGAAGGGCTCTTGCAACCAACCCTGGTTTTCCATGGTGGGCCAATGGAGAGGGGCCAGAAAACTTTCTGTGTCTTCCGTTTCTCTCCTTCCTCTCTCGCAGGGGGACCAGAGCAGAGCAGAGAGATGGTGCCCATGGAAAGGGGAGAGAGGGATAGAGAGAGAAAGATGAAGTGGGGAGAAAGGGACGATGGCCCCTCTCTATCATTGGCCGTTTCTCTGTTGACACTATCCTGTCTGGAGAAACGAGGCCAATGGAAATTGGCCATTCGCTCGTTCTCTATCCTAGCCTATTTTACCTCCTCTCTGATAAGGGTACTGCCGGGAAGATGGAATCATGGGAGAGAGGGTTCATCAGGCGGGTCTTTCTCACTTCGCTTTCTCTGTTTGTTCACTGCCATTTGGAGAAACAAGGCCAACAGATAGTAGCTCTGGCCCTTCCTCTGATCCTTTCTCTGACCTTCCTCTACATGGTGATTTTTAGTACTAGCTGGGTGTAACACAAGATTGTAGAGGTTCTTCCAGATTCTTCAAGATCTCTTGATGAGCAGGGAAAAACCTTGCTGGTTTCAAGTTTTATGCTTGAACAACTGGGGTCCCTCTATAGGGAATAATTTAAATAACGAGTGTTTGAAGAATGCTTTCTATTATCATTTTTATGGGCCGGTCCAACAGGGAGAACGGATGAGGCCTCATGTTGACTGCCGACCTTAACCCCTGGAAGCTGCTGGTGAGATTCGCTGCAATTGCTACAGCTACTACTATGGCAGAAATTTTTGTGGGCATATCTTTCAATCTCACAGATCTGCCCCATGTTGGTTGAGAAGACATTTGTGATGCTGAAGAAAGCGCCCAGGGTCCAGACCATGACTAAAAAGGGACCAAGCGGAGCTGGTGGGATTTAGGGTCATGCGCTGATCCCTCCAGTTGCTGATTGGCAAGAGAAGCTTTTCCCTATCTTAAGGAAGCATTGGTCTTCACCCTTTGTTTGTAGGGAAAGTAGAGCAGGAAGTCAAGGAATGAGCTTTGCAAATAGAAAGGAAGGAATGGATTGGACGCAGTACATGCACACAAACTAAATAAATATGAAGCTGGAAATAACATGATGGTGCTAGAGACTTATAGTAGTTGGGTTAACATCATACCCACTCTGCTCCTCTAGAAACCAAGAAAGATGACGAATGCATGCAGAGATTTGAAGCTAGTTGCACTTGGTTTGACGAATCGACACTGTGGAGAGATTGGAAGACAAGAAACATGTGAAAAACAAGACAAGGCTTAGGTAGTTCCTATGGATGACTTGATTTGACAATCCATTCTTAGAAGAAAATGGAACAAATTCCACTGCATGTTAGAAAAGTTTAACAATTCTAAACGGCATGCCCTGCCAATAGAGTGGGACAGGCGTCAGCACATTTTCATAACGGGAAAATTCCAAGACCTTGAAACACTAAATTTGCAGTGCAACTTTTAGAGTTTTTTCTTTTGTCTCAAAGACCTTGAAACACTTTTTCAATAAATCCACGTTTTCCTCTGCCTTTTTTCTCACATTTCTATTTCACTGTACTTTCTCTTAAATTTATTCTGTCTTCGCATCATACCTGCTGTAAAAATGGGCTTTTCCCTAACCATCCAGTAGAGTCTGGTCTATGACTAAGTTGAGTGTTGGCCGTCTGTTTACTTGATTGAAGGCTGATGTGTAGTTCGATATTAACTGTAGAAAGAAAAATTCTCATACTTACGAGTTTATCTTCATCTGATGCAGACCATTTTTCGGAATGTGTTGAAAAGCATGCATATTCTACATATGACAAATTTGTAAAGCTCCATGGTGGTAAGTGCCGATTTTTCTTTACACAGCTTTAAAGGACCTTCCCAAAAATGATAAGCTTTTTGTCAGTTTCATATTTTTTTACATCTGAGTGATAAGCTTTTCAGTACATCTGAGTTTTTTAGTGTTAGTTCAGAGATTTATGTCACTTATTTGTATGAAATAATCAGCAGGGCCTCTAGTTATAATCCAGATGTTCTATCTAATGAGAAAGCTGCCTCCAGAAATATAGGGAATAGTCTTTCATTCTTGGATATATAATTACATATCTTTTCTTTTATTTCCATACCAGAATTTTTGTTACGAACTGGAAATATTATGATTCTGCTGTCAGTGTTGACCATGGTACCAGAGAGACATTGGCGCGACTGCTGTACTATGACTTTTAAGGCAGATGGTCGTAGCTAAAATTCTTTGAATTACTTTCTTTATATTGCTTGACTTGCCTATCAGCTGTCAACAGAGCTAACCGGAAATATGCTAATTGGTAGCGAAAGGGAGGTCCATATATGATCCAAAAGATTTCTAACAGAAATGGCTTGATATTTTCAGAAATCAGGCTTCAAGCCGGCACAAAACCTGGATAGGGTCACACAGCATACCCTTTCATCTTATAACAAATCTTCATTTCCCCATTTTTTTTGTGTTAAAAATCTGAGAGTGAACTTTATGATATGAGATCAAACAAAATAGAGGTGACTCCAATGACATTCTTGCCCCCCTTTCTATCGTTTTTATTTTTCTCTCATGGGAGGTTACAACCAGTAGTCGGGGGAGTTTCCCTCTCTATTTTATGGCTAAGAATATTATTTACACCAGATGCACATCTATAGTGGCGATTTTAAGACTGGGTATATACACTGGAACCGATCTTAATAACTTAACACACCTCGTGTTTGTCACTACATTTCAGGAAAATGTTGGCATACGCCTAAGAAAAAAAATGTTTGTGTTTTTATGGTATAAGGTAGTGAACTATTGTTATCTAATGATCGCGCAAGACGGGACACAATCACTCTGATGCAGCCTCTTCAACCTTGCCCAGTTTCTTCTCTTCATTGTGATCCATGCCGTAGGGTGCCACAACTGCTTCTCTTTATCATGGTACCATATTCCGGGAGGTCACCAAAATTATTCTACCACCTGCCGCATGCCTCTTCTTACAGTCAACTGCAAGAAGCTATTCTCTCATCCCTTTAACCTTTCTCAGTCTGCTGCATTGCATAGGGAGATCCCAGTGCCGCATTGTATGATGATTATATCGACTCTGAGTTGGATCTACCCCCTACTGGCTCACTAGATTTCCAGACCAAAATGTGACTGGAGTTCTGCAGTTCTTTTCTTTGTTTGCATCCACCATACACCAGATGTCTCATTCAAATTGAACTGATTTATGTTCTGGGCATTGCGTTCAATCTGCTGTGCTCACCAAATACCACCAATTGGGAGGTTACCAGTGAAGCTGAAAAGTCGGGTCATCTGTCTGCACATTGTTCTCTCTGAAGCCTCTCTCTGTAATTGTAACTCCGGTACCTGAAATAATAGGCTACTGAGTGTTTGAGAGGGAAATATTTGAACGACACAGAGCTAATCTTTCTGTGCTTGGTAGTCGCGTTTATGGAATGTAGAATCAATATATCTTATAGGATTCTTCACGTTTTATCTTACGCCTGGAATTCATTATTTGGAGATGGGTCAACTGCAATTCCATGCTTAGAGTTCTTGGACGTAGTTTGCTGCAAGTACACATTTGGGCAGAGTTCTTGGACATGGTATGACAAATTTGGACATAATTTGCCGCAACCCAAGTCAATTAAAATTACCACAACTACTACAATGACACATAGTTGGCCAACTATCAGCTTGGACACGTGTTTGGAGTTCTTTGGTGGTGCTAGCTTAGATTTCATGACTGTGATGAGTTAGGAAATGTTTTCCTAGATCGAAAGGATCTCTAATCTATGTGGTTCTTAGAGAATGATGGGATAAAATCCTTCAACTACAACAAGCTTTCTCTCGTACCCACGTTCTCCACCTTCATAAAATGGAGCCTGATAAGAGAACAGTCACTCCATCTAAATGTAATGATCCATCAGGGACTGAACATTGATAGCGGTGGTTTATTCGCAGAACCATTGCCGATTCTTCTGGATGGTCTTTTGAAGCAGACATTTAAGTAGATATAACGTAAATAATTAAAAAGTTTCCATCTTTTTCTTAGTTTACTCGATCTCGAGAATTCAATCCAGATGGATGAGTAAAGTGTTCTTACAGAAGGATCCATTGTTTGCCATGCAAGAGTGATCAATCTGCTTATTGTCAGGCTCATAGACTTTGGGCTATTTTAATCCGAAAAACATAGTCTATTCTTCGTCTACTTCACAATTTTGATGATTTCGTTACTTGGAATTGCTTCAGATGAATTGAAAAACTTACCTGCTCCAGAAGTTGCTATAAAGTATTACATGGGTGAAGACATGTATTTGTTTGGTAAGTGGATCTGAAAGGAGCACCATTTTGTAATCTTTATGCATCCTCAGTTTCACGCTCTGTTTCTGATTGTTTGCGTTTGAGCAGATGAGTTCCAAACAGCAAGAGCTCCCAATACCCGAAGACCGCAGATAGGTGCTTGCTACTGAACCAAAGTCATGTACCATCTGATAAATGGCTACTGTTTATGTGGCTATCTATTTTCTTAGGCTGGATCATTCTAAATTGGGCATTTATGACGGTTGTTGCTAATGAGATTTTTTTTTTTTTTTTTTTTTTTTTTTTTGGGATGTCTTTAGAGAACCTGTACGATGTGTTTCTTAACATCAGAGACGATGAGGCTGAACACTGCAAAACCATGAAGGCCTGTCAGTCCCACGGCAACCTCCAGTCTCCTCACTCAAATCCAGACTATCGTGAGGATGATTCGTGCACTGCCCTTCCGCAGACAGACTGTGAAGGTATTGTTGATTGCCTTAAGAAGTCTGTGACGTCTCAGTGATGATCAATGGAAACCCTCATGACCAAAATACCCATGACCTTTTGTTTAGTGCGGATGCATGCATTCAATATTGCACATAAAAATTCAACCATGTAAACAAATACGAAAAACATTAGAACACAAAGGGTGATATTTGTAAAGAAATTGGGGAAGAACAGGGCTTTGCAGAAGATGTTTCATTCGCTGTTCCTTGTCAGTCTCTACCCCAGTTGAATGGTGATCTGTTTCTGTATCCCTTTTTTCATATGAATAAAACAGTTAATCCCTTGCATCATTAGTCTTTCTAATTGCCAGATGAATGGCTTCCGTTGTTATGTTTTTGTCTCAAGCTTCTAGAAGATGATCACATCTCTGCTGAATATTCGTCAATTAATCACAAACTCATGAGTTGGCGTCAATTGGGCAAGAAAATAATCAAGTGATGGCGAATAGGTGAGAAGGCAGAGATCAGCTCTCACGCCTGACGTGCTATCATGGAACTGGGTCAACATGTTCAGGAGCTCATCTTTGCCTAGTAGATGCATCATGGGCATGATGGTAGACCTTTTACATTTATGGCAACGATGGAGGTGGTTTGTGCGGCAATTGGTGTTTGACTTTTCAGTGTAATGATGATGATGATGATGATGATGATGATGATGATGATGATGATGAGGATGGCAGTAGCTTCATGCTCTCCACTTGGGTTGACTTTCCTTTGTCTGACATTAAGTCCTCTTAGTCATTTCACCATGAGTCAAATGATTTCATAATTGTAAACCATGTGACCTTCACTAATATATGTTTGGATACTCGCATATTGGTTACTTACAAAATTTCTAAATATAGGTGATTAATTAAGCATTTAAAATTTTATTATGAAAATTTTCAATCTCTTTATGCTGAAAATCATTCCGTATCTAACCCTTCGAATATTCACATTAAAACTTACTCATTATTTAATTTTGAATTGAAATATGTGGTAGTGTATGATTTGGCGTTGAATGCCATCGACATTAAAGCAAAGAAAAAGGGTTTTGGTGGTGCTTTTTACTGTGCTAAGTATGTCTGGTAGTGCGCGTTAGTATGTTAAGGTTTAGGGAAATGGCGCGCATACTGGTGAATAAATGTGGAGTTTATCGTAGTTAAGCTCGCTTAATTGATGAGCCAAGAACCCCTGCCTAAAGAGAGAGAGAGGCGGGCAGTTATGAAGATGACCGTTGGCGGGAAGTACGCCTTGGCGCGCCTTTGAAACCTGGCCGTATATATTGCCCATTCCGTCCCGTTATCTCTCTCATTCTCTCCCGCTCTTTCTCTCTCTACCGCTCTCCCGTTCTCTCTCGCTCGCTCTCTCTCTCTCTCTCTCTCTCTCTGGTGACTCCTTCTTGGTTCTGCGATCTCTCGCGGTTGATTCCTGCCGGAGATCGCTGGATTGGCCTGCGAATCTGTTGCGTCTGCGGCCGTCTTTCCTCTCGGTGACGGTCTTTGAGCGGGGGGAATTCCCTTATACCCTGCATCTTATTTCTTGCATCTCACGTCTCGTTGTTCAGAAGATTTGCTTCTGCGGCTCGTGTTCGTTCTTGGTTGTTTTCATGAGGATTGTTCTCCTCGACGGAAAATTACTATTTTCTTGTTTTTCTTGATTTTTCCACATCCTCTGTCAATAGATCTCCAGGTCTGCTGGCGTGTTCTTCCTGGTTTCTCGTTCTTCTATAGCTCGCGTCTGCGGGTGGTTTTCTTTCCCGGCTATCGTGACGATCTCTTTGCGCAGAGATTTCTCTCTTCCTCTGTTTTCTTACTTGCCTCCCACCTCTCGTTGGTCTGCCGGTCTGCCGCGTCTGCGGCTGGTTTTCCTCTTGCCTTGTGGTTGCGACTATCTTTCTGTGCAGGAATTTGTCCTTTTCTCTGCTGATTTCGCAGATCCTGGGACGCGGCGATGATGGCTTCCTGGGGATTGAAGAGCTGCAGCGAAGACGAATCATCTTCGATAAGCCGCAGCTCCATTCAGGAGGCCCGTCAGTCAAGACTCATCTCGAGGCAGCATGGCGTTTCCAAGCACAGCGTAAGCCCTCGACGGATTGACCCAGTTCTTTATTCTAAACCATTTAGGGTTTCGATTTAGATTTCTGGTGCCACCAGATTCATGATTTCTGCAGATTACGTTTCCTTCGTATTCCTAATTGCGTAGTTAGTCGTTCTCTGAACGTCATCATCTCGGCGATTCAGGGCGATCGATTTATCCCCAACAGATCAGCAATGGACTTCGACATGGCCTTCTACCTGCTGACACAAACCAGGAAAGAGAAGGAGAAAGCCGCCGCCCTGGCCTCCCATCCGGGGCAGACCTACGGGAAACTCCTGGCCGAGAGGTTGCTCCCGAATAGAAATCGGATTCTGGCCTTCCAGGCGCGGCCTCCTGCTTCCTCCTCCACGGCCGAAGAGGTCTCCTTCGATCACCAGCCCAAGTCCACGAAACAGACGAGAGAAATTTCCCGGTCGGCAGATCGGATCCTGGACGCCCCGGACATGACCGACGACTACTATCTTAACGTGCTGGACTGGGGGAGCAGGAACATCCTGTCTATCGCCCTCGGCAGCGCCGTCTACCTGTGGAACGGCACCGACGGTTCCACGTGGGAGCTGACGAGGGCGGAGGACGACCTCGGAGCCGCAGCGAGCGTCTCCTGGGCTCCAGATGGCCGGTACCTTGCACTGGGTCTGAACGGCTCCGACGTCCAGCTGTGGGATACCGACTCCCAGCGACTGGTAAGTGGCCAGACCTCCTTCCCTCCCTGCCTAGAGGATTTCAGGGTTTCCTTTTCTGACGAGAATCGTCCTCTGTGTTTATCCGCCGCTGCAGCTGAGGACTCTGAGAGGTGTACACCGTTCTCGAGTCGGATCGCTCTCATGGAGCAATCACATTCTGACGACGGGAGGGAAGGATGGCAAGGTGGTGAACAACGACGTGAGAATCAGGTCTCACGTCGTCCACTCATACAGAGGCCACAGAGGAGAAGTCTGCGGGTTAAGGTGGTCTGGTTCCGGCCGGCGTCTGGCCAGCGGCGGCGACGACAACCTAGTCCACATCTGGGACCTGCGCAGGGCATCGACGGCCACTGCTCCGCGGACCTCCCAAGGTCCCTGGATCCACAGGTTCGACAAGCATGCCTCCGCCGTGAAGGCCCTCGCATGGTGCCCCTTCCAGAGCAACCTGCTGGCCTCCGGCGGCGGCGGCAACGACCGGTGTATCAAGCTCTGGAACACCGAGAACGGCACTTGCCTCGACTCGGTGGACACGGGGTCGCAGGTCTGCTCCCTGCTGTGGAGCAAGAAGGAGAAGGAGCTGCTAAGCTCCCATGGGTTCGGTCAGAACCAGCTGACTTTGTGGAAGTACCCCTCTTTTAGGAAGATTATCGACCTCACCGGCCACAGTTCCCGAGTCCTGAGCACGGCCGTGGTATGGACCAAAATCCCCCCAGATCCTGTCCGTTTATTCCCAGCTGTCGTCTATAATGCTGGTATGACGGCGAGATATCGGCTTCGCAGAGCCCGGACGGGTGCACGGTGGCGTCGGTGTCGGGTGACGAGACGCTGAGGTTCTGGAACGTCTTTGGATCGCCGGAGACGACGAAGAGGTCGCCTCCGAAGCCCCCTCCGGACCTAGAGCCATTCTCCAGCTTCAGCCGCATCAGGTAATGTACAGGGGACAAGAAGGGTGGGCAGACGGGGCGGGGAAGAGCCCGGTTCTCCCCTTCTAGCCCGCCGCCCGCCCGAGTTTTCTTCTTCTTTCTCTTGTATGCACGATGATGGATTTCTCTGACATTTTTCTCGAATCGTTTTCCGCTTCTGCGGTCGTCGATCCGTCGGATATTTACTCCGAGTTTTCTTCGATCGGCCGAGTTTTCTTGAGTTGCTTTCCTTTCCTGGTCATAGATGCAGCTGCTGGTTTTCTTCTTCTTCCTCCTCGTCGGCGGAGGAACATGTCTGCATATTTTCTCTGTTTGGTTTAATGCGTATCGCCGGCGGTCTTCCGTTGTCACCAGAAGTTGGGTGCCCCGAAGAATTCTAGGTAGTTGATGATAGGAGCCGGAATCTTCATCGACCAAAGTCTGACGGCAGGAGCATGATGATGCACGGCGGCGTGGACACCGGCGATGACGATGTACAGGCTCCGACGCCGACAACGCCGACGGCGTCCACCATGGACCGGAACCTTCCTGTCTTCAAGGTCTACCCCTCTCTCTCTCTCTCTCTCTCTCTCTCTCTGTGTCTCTTCGCCTGTTCATGCTTCTCTGCTCAGCCTCGGCGCCAACGGTGATCAGCAGTTCCGGCTGATTGCTTCGCTTCGCACAGTGGGAGAAAAGCAGGAGGAAAATATGTGGAACAATTGGACTGTAGAGCTCAGCCTGGAGCGATTTTCTTCAGATAATAAAAAAAGTACTAATAAACATTTTCTTACGACTTTGGATGAGACGAGTGATTTGGCGTGCTTGGGAAATTTTGGAATAAATTTAATGATAAGAAATAAAAACATGGTAGTGGAATAATGATTTAGACCGGATTATATTGGGTTAAATTCTCCATTGAGAAATAACGATGAAAACCTAAAGTATTGATAAAAAAAATTATTCTTTTCATTTGACCTCTAAGTTAAAGAAAACGTTTCCTACCAAGTTCCTTAGAAAGAGAGTTATATACATTCTATATTTGGCGAGAAACCATGAAAAGCATCTCCTAGTTTTTCCTTATAAGCACCCAATCTTTACCTTAAATTCTTGAATTAAATGAAAATGGTCTTATAGATATTGAAATATGGTTCAACTGGGGCTTGAGGGTAATAAAATTCAAAAGGAAGGTAACCAAGAAAATCTCGAATTGTTTTAGATATTACAGATTAAAAATGATATTTTCTCAGTTTATTTAAGCTAAAAATCAGGAGTTGATTCTATAGAGGAAACTACCTTCATAAAACCATTTAGTTTGTTATTGAATATGCATAAACCTTTTTTTAAAAAATCCTATAAATGAAACATAAGGGGAATCAATTTTAAAGAAATAAAACTTAATTAAAAAATAGTTATATCTTGATAATTTTTTAAATGATTATTTTCGAAAAACTTTATTTAAAATAAAATTGTTACACCAAATTCAGAGAAAGGAAAATTAACCCAAGGAGACATTATATCCATTAAAATAAGTTTACGAGTCTATTAAGAGTCATGATACTTTTTTAAAGAGCCTTATTGATTCAATTAAGGTAGCATGAGAAACCAAAAGAGAGGTGGGCATGATTTTATATCCTGCATTTTTGGCTTCCTGATAGTTATTTTTTTACTATAGTTACAAATCTTGCCATGTGTTGTCATATTCTTTTCTAAACTTAAGCTTAATGAATTGTCTGACTAACATTGTAAACTTCATCACAAATTGAAATATTTTATTCTTTTGTGGTGATGATTTCATTTTGAATCTATTTCAAATATATTTCTAATGTGTACATAGGTCTATAGTTGTGATAGATATTTATAACAAAAAACTCTATTACGTAAAGGTCTATATGATCCACTTTATCACTGAGTATTTCGTTAGTTTATGACATATCTTTATCTAGAATGATTTTAGAACATCAGTCAATAAAATACTATCATTTTGAGATTATCATTTTACCATTTTATCTATTTTTTTCATCTTCAAAATCATGTGTCTATCTCTCATTCTTATGTGTCTATTATGTGTCTAGAATGATATTTCATCTTGTCACCAAGTTTCCATTTCTCTCCATCACTCTCTCTCCCCCCCTCCAACACCTCAGTCCCTTAATTTCTCCGTGTCCTATTGCAAAGTGGATGAGATGGGTTAACTAGCTTTTTTGGGAAAATGTTGCAATAAATGGAATGATGAGAAATAACAAAGATTGTTTTGGAACAACGATTTTGACTGATTATATTGTGTTAAATTTTCCATTGAGAAATGGCCACGAGAACCTTGAGTATTTTATAGTAATTGTTTTGCGTTTTTCTTCTAACCTCTGAACTAAACAAAAAGGTTTCCTTCTAATTTCTGGCAAATAGAGGCGTATCAAATAAGAATGAATTGATGAGAAACCATGAAAAGTTCATTCGGATTTTTCATCTATTCATATCTAATCTTCACTTTAAATGCTTGAATTAAATAGAAATGGCATTCTAGATACTGGAAGGTGTCGCAAAGGGGCTTGTGGGCAATAAATTTAAAAACGAAATAGTTGAGAACATGTCGAGCAGTTTTAGATATTTTTGATGAAAAATGATTTTTTATCTATTTAACTAATCTTAGCAGCAAAAGTAGATCTTAACAAATAAAGCCAATTTTATGAAAAATGTAATTTTTAATTTCATACTCTTATTTTTTTATTTTAAACTCTAATAAATTAAATGAGGGGTGAAATTTTCAACTTTACCTAAATAAAATATAAGGGGAATAATGTTTAAAGAAATAAATTTTAATTCAAAAAATTATTACGTTATTAATGATTATACGTATTTTTAACTGAATATATTGTTAAAATTTTAAAGAAAGATGTTATATTAAATTTATAGAAAAGGAAAATTAACTCAAAGGGTCCTTATTGTGGTCCTAATCATTTTGTTTATGGGATGAAAACATCATATGTATAAGCCTACCTAAATTTTGTTTATGGGATTAAAAAGCCATATGGTTGATCATTAACTCACCTATCACGTGGGTGGCCTGGGTTTGATCCCTATGTCCTCCATAGGTTTGACCCAACAGGACACAAAGGGAACATAGTGGAAATGCCCAGAAAACCTCAAAAAGTTCAAAAACAACATGAATCAATAAAAAACATATGACAATAAGAGAAATCCAAAAAATGGATAACTAAGTAAGATTTGATCTAGAATTTGAAACGAATCTCTTTTACTTATTAATTGAATGATTATATATACCAAAAATACAATTTTTGACAAGACTTGGAGTAAGAAATAGAAGTCAAAGATTGAAGATGGAAAATAAAAAAATAATTAAATCCAAAAGAAAATGAGAGACTTTTGAATTTGAATAAGAGAAAGGAGGCCCCTCACTTGAACTAAGGGATCTCATGAAGGGTTAGTTGGAGTGCAAGAGGCTAGAAGGTAGGAAACAAGCCTGGCGAGCAAGGGAAGGAGAAAGATATAGGGAACAATTTGGCTACAAATCAATGGTCTTTTTTGTATTTTTAATTTTTATTATTATCTTATTTTATATTTGTTCTATTCTTTGGGTGACATACATTGATCACAGAGGCTCTTACTTTGGTTTTGTTCTTCTCATTTTCTTGGGTGACATACAAAGAAAGTAGAGAGCTTTAATAATTGTTCTTAGTCTTCATCATTTCGAATTTAGTTAAAATTCTGGTTTTAATTACTTATAGTTTCTTTTTTCGTCATTGGGTGACGGACAAGGAAAGGAATTATTCAAAGTTATAAGGTTTAATCTAGATTTGATATTTTAATTAAAAAAAATCTTAGTTCTATAGGACTTTGCTGTGTGATGAAAAGTAGAGTGTAATTTTAGTTTTAAAAGTGTTTATGACCATGAATTTACTTATTTTAATTTATCCTTGATTGAAAACCAAGGATATTTCCTAAGCTTATTTACTTTCACTTTACTTTACATCTTATTTTTAATTATTTCAAAACATTCTTCCCATATTAGAAGTTATTTTATTGATAACCACCTTTCTCATTTTTTCACATCATAATCTATAATCTATTTTCCATTATTTTTGATTTAATCATCTCATCATTAAACCCTTTTTCTTATTATCTAGAGCTGACAAGAGAGTTAAATATCTGAAATTAATTGATAAAGAAGGCTAGTAACTAATGAAGATAAACTTTTATCATTTATCTCATCCTATTCATTTCATTATTTTGTTTTGAATTAATCTTTGTGTTAGAAAAATTAGAAATCCACGGTTGGTTATTTCGAGAGATGTGAACAAGTTCAAAGCTGGCATAGAAGATCACGAGGATAAAGAGGGTTGACACAAGAGGGCCACCTCTTGTAGAACCGAAGAGCCACAGCTGCACCATTAAAGAGACTTGTAAAACTAGCATCAGATAAGCATGCTTTAATCATCATTATGGGTGATAATTAAAGAAAAATATTTCTCATAAAATATCATTATATGCGTGATATCCCAGGATCCAACAAAGAGATCTCGAAGAGAAGAAGAAAATTAAATCGCATGCATGCCATGCATGCTATGCTAGACCATGATGTGGCTGGTGAATCACAATCTCTTGTGGCATGCAAGTGCACGATTGAAAGCCTGGGAGGATGCAAAAATCTCAACTATGGTTGGGTGCAAGAACTAATTGGCACGTATTGAAGATGATTGATCCCATCTAAGGTAAGATCGCCAATGGAAATCTTGATGGTAGTGAGTGACATTGTCTTGGATCATTTCGCAGCTTAAGATAAAGGGATTTTATTGATTCCATGAACATCAGCTATATTTCTCTCAACTAAAATTTTTAAAACCAATAGAAACCTAGTTATTCTGTGATTCTGATCACTAGTGATTTTGTCCTTAAGAGATCATTGACGAAGGAGCAGCAAAAAACTATAATAAATTTGAGAATAATAGATACAATAAATTCGTGATATTATGATCTATCCACTTTACATTCTTTCTTATTGTATCAAGTCAATCATGACAATCCAATGTGTCAACCCAACTCAGCTTGTATTAACCCATTCGCTACAAAACTTGAAGAAAATGTTAAAAAAATAAAAATTAAAAAAACAATTTAAAACCAATTCACCCAGCTGCATCTATGACCAGGAAAGGAAAGCAACTCAAGAAAACTCGGCCGATCGAAGAAAACTCGGAGTAAATATCCGACGGATCGACGACCGCAGAAGCGGAAAACGATTCGAGAAAAATGTCAGAGAAATCCATCATCGTGCATACAAGAGAAAGAAGAAGAAAACTCGGGCGGGCGGCGGGCTAGAAGGGGAGAACCGGGCTCTTCCCGGCCCCGTCTGCCCACCCTTCTTGTCCCCTGTACATTACCTGATGCGGCTGAAGCTGGAGAATGGCTCTAGGTCCGGAGGGGGCTTCGGAGGCGACCTCTTCGTCGTCTCCGGCGATCCAAAGACGTTCCAGAACCTCAGCGTCTCGTCACCCGACACCGACGCCACCGTGCACCCGTCCGGGCTCTGCGAAGCCGATATCTCGCCGTCATACCAGCATTATAGACGACAGCTGGGAATAAACGGACAGGATCTGGGGGGATTTTGGTCCATACCACGGCCGTGCTCAGGACTCGGGAACTGTGGCCGGTGAGGTCGATAATCTTCCTAAAAGAGGGGTACTTCCACAAAGTCAGCTGGTTCTGACCGAACCCATGGGAGCTTAGCAGCTCCTTCTCCTTCTTGCTCCACAGCAGGGAGCAGACCTGCGACCCCGTGTCCACCGAGTCGAGGCAAGTGCCGTTCTCGGTGTTCCAGAGCTTGATACACCGGTCGTTGCCGCCGCCGCCGGAGGCCAGCAGGTTGCTCTGGAAGGGGCACCATGCGAGGGCCTTCACGGCGGAGGCATGCTTGTCGAACCTGTGGATCCAGGGACCTTGGGAGGTCCGCGGAGCAGTGGCCGTCGATGCCCTGCGCAGGTCCCAGATGTGGACTAGGTTGTCGTCGCCGCCGCTGGCCAGACGCCGGCCGGAACCAGACCACCTTAACCCGCAGACTTCTCCTCTGTGGCCTCTGTATGAGTGGACGACGTGAGACCTGATTCTCACGTCGTTGTTCACCACCTTGCCATCCTTCCCTCCCGTCGTCAGAATGTGATTGCTCCATGAGAGCGATCCGACTCGAGAACGGTGTACACCTCTCAGAGTCCTCAGCTGCAGCGGCGGATAAACACAGAGGACGATTCTCGTCAGAAAAGGAAACCCTGAAATCCTCTAGGCAGGGAGGGAAGGAGGTCTGGCCACTTACCAGTCGCTGGGAGTCGGTATCCCACAGCTGGACGTCGGAGCCGTTCAGACCCAGTGCAAGGTACCGGCCATCTGGAGCCCAGGAGACGCTCGCTGCGGCTCCGAGGTCGTCCTCCGCCCTCATCAGCTCCCACGTGGAACCGTCGGTGCCGTTCCACAGGTGGACGGTGCTGCCGAGGGCGATAGACAGGATGTTCCTGCTCCCCCAGTCCAGCACGTTAAGATAGTAGTCGTCGGCCATTTCCGGGATTAACAGCATCCGATCTGCCGACCGGGAGATTTCTCTCGTCTGTTTCGTGGACTTGGGCTGGTGATCGAAGGAGACCTCTTCGGCCGTGGAGGAGGAAGCAGGGGGCCGCGCCTGGAAGGCCAGAATCCGATTTCTATTCGGGAGCAACCTCTCGGCCAGGAGTTTCCCGTAGGTCTGCCCCGGATGGGAGGCCAGGGCGGCGGCTTTCTCCTTCTCTTTCCTGGTTTGTGTCAGCAGGTAGAAGGCCATGTCGAAGTCCATTGCTGATCTGTTGGGGATAAATCGATCGCCCTGAATCGCCGAGATGATGACGTTCAGAGAACGACTAACTACGCAATTAGGAATACGAAGGAAACGTAATCTGCAGAAATCATGAATCTGGTGGCACCAGAAATCTAAATCGAAACCCTAAATGGTTTAGAATAAAGAACTGGGTCAATCCGTCGAGGGCTTACGCTGTGCTTGGAAACGCCATGCTGCCTCGAGATGAGTCTTGACTGACGGGCCTCCTGAATGGAGCTGCGGCTTATCGAAGATGATTCGTCTTCGCTGCAGCTCTTCAATCCCCAGGAAGCCATCATCGCCGCGTCCCAGGATCTGCGAAATCAGCAGAGAAAAGGACCACAAGGCAAGAGGAAAACCAGCCGCAGACGCGGCAGACCGGCAGGCCAACGAGAGGTGGGAGGCAAGTAAGAAAACAGAGGAAGAGAGAAATCTCTGCGCAAAGAGATCGTCACGATAGCCGGGAAAGAAAACCATCCGCAGACGCGAGCTATAGAAGAACGAGAAACCAGGAAGAACACGCCAGCAGACCTGCAGATCTATCGACAGAGGAGATGTGGAAAAATCAAGAAAAACAGGAAAATAGACTTTCCCGTCGACGAGAATAATCCGCACAAAACCAACCAAGAAAGAAGACCAGTCGCAGAAGCAAATCTACGGACTAACGAGACGTGAGAAGCAAGAACAAAGATGCACGGGATAAGGGACTTCCCCGCGCTCAAAGGCCGTCACCGAAACGAAAGACGGCCGCGGACGGAGCAGATTCGCAGGCCAATCCAGAGCGACCTCCGGCAGGAATCAACCGCAAGAGATCGCAGCACCAAGAAGGAGTCACCAGAGGGAGAGAGAGAGCGAGCGAGCGAGAGCGAGGGAGCGGTAGACAGAGAAAGAGCGGGAGAGAATGAGAGAGATGACTGGACGGAATGGGGTATATACAGGGCCAAGATTCAAAGGCGCGCCAAGGCGTACTTCCCGCCAACGGTCATCTTCATAACGGCCCGCCTCTTTCTCTCTCTTTAGGCAGGGGTTCTTGGCTCATGAATTAAGCGAGCTTAACTATGAGAAACGAATAGAGAGATGAACAAGAGTTTTCATGATCACAAATAGTTTCCTAATATTTTTCTCAATTCTCTTCACACACTAGGCTTTCCTTGCTTCGTCAATGAAAACTAATTGCCTAGCTAAAATAATGTCCTCAAGTTTACTTAAATTTAATCACTAATATTACTTTGGTGATTGTAAACAAAATGGTCAAATTAAGTTTTATAAAAAATAATGATTAAAAGTAACTTTTCTTGAATTCAAATTACCTTTACATTTATTACTCTAGATTAACATGCTAGTCTCTTCTAGATTCACAACTCTATATTAGACTTAGTAGAATGTATTATATCTGTACTCAATTGAATAAATTAATATTTCTACCAAAGACATAGTGGTGAAGATGTACTTGTTTCATCTTAGTGCTTTTATAGTCATCAAATCCCCAGCTTGATGTTACGAGATACTTATGGAGGAATTGAGTGACTGTGAGACAATCTTTCCTTGAATTGAGTTGACAACTTTATATTGACTTTATTGAGAAGTAATATATCATCTCTAATTCATTGCACTAGATTCACATTAACACCTTGAACTAATAGATAACTCTCTTCAGAACTCTCCTTCTTTGCTTGAAAAGGGGAAGATACTTGACATGACTTAGTCGTTGTATAGTAAATCACGTAAATTTAAAATTTATAAAACTAGAAAATACAAATTTTCGGATATTTAGAAGTATTTCTGAACAAATATATCAATTATAATTCAATAAAACTTCCAAAAATAGTGATAATTTTCCAGTTCGATCATAGAGATGTAATATAATATCAAGTAATTATCCAGAATTTTCCTCAAAGAATACTATTTTCTATGAATTTTACATTAGGAAATGAAAATAAAATATATTTAAAATTTACAAAGAAAAGAGAAATAAGGGTGCGGACCTTAGGATGGCATCAGCGCTTGGCAAACGTAAATCGAGCAAAAATAGAGTTCTACCTAGTGATTCTTATGTAAGTGATTATAAACAATTTAATTGATCAAATTAAGATTTGTAAAAGCCGAAAGAATCATAATTGAATGAAGTAAATCTTGATAAATTTAAATCACACAAATTATCACTAAATGAAGCGAAAATAAAGTTGAAAGCAGAAAAACAGAGTTTCGGCATCATGGCGGCGATGCGTCGGCGATGTACCAGAATCCTGAGTGTTTGGGAGGATCGTCGTGTAGTGTCCACGGCCTTGAAGGCTCTCCTTGGACAAGGACGATGTGGGCAATCTCTAGATCTCCTTGTGAAGTCTAGAGATCAATAAAATGGGTCGTCAAATCGTCTCCGGTGGCTGTCATCTGACGGAGCAGAAAAATGGCGACTTTGCGGTTCTCCGGTGGCTGTCACCTGATGGAGAGGAGTTGGATGGAGGTGGGGCGCATGTCAAGGAGCTTCATCATTAGGTCCACGCAGTAAGAGGAGGCTTTTCATTGCATCCGGTATGTTCTCAAGAGGTGACAACTCGTCTCTCGATGGATCGTCCTCTTCCCGACAACGACTTGTTCATTGATCAATCGGAGCTACTTTACTCGATGGATTCGCAATCCTTTTATTGCAAATCATTCAATAGTTTTAATAACAATGCCCCACGAATTGCGTTAACGAGATTTTTGTCGATGATCCAACGATTCTGATGGCTTAATCCTTCACCGGCGATCTACAGAAAAGTCGCGATAATCAAATAAAAAATATGAGTTTTGGCTCTGGGTGGATTCAAACCCGCGTCGGTTGCCCACCCTTTCTAGGGAAGGTGTGACGCGAGTTTAGTCTCACATCATTTGTGTGCCAAATTTTCTAGCGAATATATAGTAATAATACATTTATAATCAAGTTCCTTTCTCGCGTGTGTACGACCACTCCTTGCCCCACAGCTGGCTGGCCACCGGTGATGTGGAAGGAGAGTGGCGCACACGTGCCCCTATTGGTCCTAGCCACTCGAGCCCTTGCTCGTGGCTCCTCCCCAACTGCGCTTCCGACTCGCTTGCAGGCCCGGCTGGCTGGTGGGTCCCCCCTATTTTGCTATATTTTTATTTTTATTTATTTTTCTTCATTTATCTCAAAAGTAAGACTGTAAAAATCATATAAATTCTTTTAAAATCACATAATTATCCAAAAATTCACGTTAATCAACTAAAAACCACTTTTCACACTTTAACACAAATATAAGTCTATTTATCATGAGTTAAGGCTAAAAATATATTATTTACTAATTATTAACTTATGATAATGAAGACTTATCACACCCCCCAACTTAAATCATTGCTAGTCCCTTAGCAATGAAATTACAAAAATAAAAATTTACAAATCTCAAACATCATATTTCAATACATAAAAAAAAAATGTACAATTAGAAATGATGCACCTTTAGACACTTTGGATTCTTATATCAAGTATTTAAGAATGATGTCAAGCACTTAAATGTTTAAGCACTCCTTGGAATAACAATTTAGACTTCACTTCTTTTGTTCACATCTTTATCACTTCTTCACTCATAGATATATTTACAAGATGTTTAAATTATCAATACTCATCCAAGAATAATATTGATCCTACATTTCTTTTTTTCCATGGCTTAATTTTTGAATTTTGCATTATATTTCTTCCTTCTTGTTTTTTTTTAATATATATATAGTGGATAAATAGCTTTTCCTATAGACAAATTTCGACAATAAGAATGATGTCTCACACCTTCCATGTGTACTTTTCATTTTCAGGGCTTTCACTTTATCCACTTATTTTGCAGCAAGTGTTTTTCTATGCACGATTTTCGACAATGAGAATGATGTCTCACACCCTCCATGTGTACTCTTCGTTTTTAGATTTTTCACATTGCTCTCTCTTTTTTTTCTGAAATAACTGATTTTCTCCTCACAAGTCCTATAGATCAGGGTGCAAAAGTCTCCATTAAACTCAAATGATCAATCAAATTTTCACATCAAGTAAATACTATCCATCAAGATCATGAAGTGAAAATCTGTAAAATCAAATTCATGTTATTTATCATATATCCAAGGAGTATTCCAACATTTCATGCTACTAGATCATTCTTTTGACTCAATAATAATCTTCCTTGTATCTTTTGGTATCAATCAATCTAATTGATTTAATTTTTCATGCATGCAATATGATGTAAGAAATTTGTAAATTAAATAGTTTTGATAGTTTTGTTTTCTGTTTTCAGTTCTTTTTTTAGCAACAATAAATTTGTCAAAAATAAATCAAAACTATTCTCTTTATAGTTGTAATTTTGAATTTCAGTAATATATGTCTAGGGGATTGAAATGTGAGAAAGGGTCTCTAGAATTTCAAAAATTTTCGGCTGTTTTTTGTTTGTTGTTCTTGACAGAAAATCAGAAAATAGATGTTGTAGTTTTTCCGAATTTTTTTATTTTTTATTTTTTTAGTTGTTGTTCTAAGTGAGCATGAAAAAATAAAAATAAAATGCCAACACATGTTCTTAATCGTCTTACAGCATAAATTAATAATTAATACTTCACCCCCCAACTTAGAAATGACATTGTCCTCAATGACATAGAAAAATCAAAATAGAATATGCAAAAAATATAATTTTCAAGTGAAGCATGCATATCTGCAAAGTTAAACATTAAAAGTATTGTCATAAATGATAAAGCTCAGAAAGACATCACCTCAACCTCATTTTTAATTTTCCACTTCATCTTACACTCCTCCTGCACTTTTTCCAAAAAAACAAATACAGAAACAAGTACTACGAAATTATAAGAAAAATAGAGCTTAAAAAATCAAACAGAATGAAATAAAAACCATGGGTTGCCTCTCATGCAGCACTGAATTTAATGTCTTCAGCTAGACACTTTGATCTTACTCTTGAATTTTTTTTAATAACAAAATTTCTTTTTCTACAAGGGGTTTATGTTCTATGTAATGTTTAAGCCGCTGTTTGATAAGTCTTCATTATCATGAGTTAATAATTAGTAAATAATATAGTTTTAGCTTTAACTCATGATAAATAGACTTATATTTGTGTTAAAGTGTGAAAAGTGCTTTTCAGTTGATTAATGTGAATTTTTAGGTAATTATGTGATTTTACATGAATTTATATGATTTTTACAATCTTGCTTTTGAGATAAATGAAGAAAAAGAAATAAAAAAAAAAGACAAAATGAGGGGGACCCGCCGGCCAGTCGGGCCCGCAAGTGGGTCGGAAGCTCAGTCGGGGAGTAGCCGCAAGCAGGGGCTCGAGCGGCTTGGACCGATAGGGGTACGCATGTGCGCCACTCCCCTTCCACGTCACCGGTGGCCAGTTGGCTGTGGGGCAAGGAGTGGTCGTACATGCGAGAGAAGGGACTTTGCTTAGAAAGCTAACATTACTATATATTCGCCCGAAAAATCACCACACAACTGATGTGGGACTAAACCTGCGTCACACCTTCCTCAGAAGAGGCGGGCGACCGGCGCGGGTTCGAGTACTTCTAGAGTCAAAAGTCATATATTTTTATCTGATTATCGTGACTTTCCTGCAGATCGCCGGTGAAGGATTAAGCAACGAGAATCGCTAGATCATCGGCGAAAATCTCGTCAACGCGATTCGCGGAGCATTGCTACTAAAATTGCAGAACGATTCGTGATAAAAGGATCGTGAATCCATTGAGTAAATCATCTCCGATTGATTGTTGAACAAGCCGTCGTCAGGAAGAGGACGATCCACCGAGAGACGAGTCGCCACCTCCTGAGAGCATACCAGATGCGATGAAGAGCCTCCTCTTGCTGCGCGGACCTGAGGATGAAGCTCCCTGATGCGCGGCCCACCTCCATCCAGCTTCTCTCCGTCAGGTGACAGCCACCAGAGAGCCGCGAAGTCGCCGATTTTCTGCTCCGCCAGGTGACAGCCGCCGGAGACGATTTGACGACCCATTTCATTAATCTCTAGACTTCGCGAGAAGATCTATAGATTGCCCACGTCGTCCTTGTCCAAGGAGAGCCTTCGAGGCTGTGGACACTGCACGACGATCCTCCTGAACGCTCAGGATTCCGGTGCATCGCCGACGCATCGCCGTCGCGACGCCGGAACTCTATTTTCCTGCTTTTAACTTACTTTACGCTTCATTTAGTGATAGTTTTTCTGATTTTAATTTACCAAAATATACTTTGTTCTATTACGATTCTTTCGGCTTTTACAGATCTTAATTTGATTAATTAAATCGTCTGTAATTGCTTACGTAAGAATCGCCAGGCGGAAATCTGTTTTCGCCCGATTCGCGTTCGCCGGGCGCTGACATCATCCTGACGTCCGCATCCTTATTTCCTTTTTTCGTGAATTTTAAATATATTTCCTTTTCATTTCTTAGTATAAAATTCATATAAAATAGTATTCTCTGAGGAAAATTCTGAATAATTATCAGATATTATATTACATCCCTGTGATTGACTTGGAAAATTACCGCTATGTTTGGAAGTTTTATTGAATTATAATTGATATATTTGTTCAGAAATACTTCTAAATATCCGAAAATTCGTATTTTCTAGTTTTATAAATTTTATATTTACGTGATTTAATATACAACGACTAAGTCACATGAAATTTTGGCGCCGTTGCCGGGGATGTATTGCATAATATTTAGTATTTTTCTATTTTTCTCTTAGAGTACACAAAAAAAAATTAACTCTTATTTTATTTTCTTCTTGCAGAATTTTTTTAGAAAAAGGGAACGAAAAGAAACAAGGCAAGCATTGGAGCATACTGAAGGAGGGTAACAATTACTAAACTTTTTCCTCGAATTTATTGATTTTTTTTATGCATGGTAGAAGATCCTTGCATCCAACGCTAGAAAATCCTTTCATTATTTCATTCAAGACTAAAAATCTGAAAGAAAAATTAATTTTGATGGATCCTGAAGGAAGTACAGGTCAAATTGAGAAAAATCCTATGGCCATGAAAAATCAATATATCCCTAATTCATTTCAAAGAGCATCAAATATTAGAGTCCCATTAGCACCCACTATTAAATTCGAAATAAATCTAGAAATTTTTCAAATGCTCCCTAATTTTCATGGATTGCCTTTAGACGAGCCTCATCAGCACTTAGAAAAATTTCATATGGTCTGTGATTTAGTTAATCTCCCTCAAGTTACACCGGAAATTATTAAGATGAAATTAGTTCCTCATACACTTAGGGACAAAGCTAGGCATTGACTATCTACATTAGATAGAGAATTAACTAGCTGGAAAGACATAGAACAGGCCTTTCTTCGAAAATTTTATCCCTTAGGAAAAATCCAAAATATGAGAAAACATATATGGAGTTTTTCTCAAAGACCAGGAGAAACTTTACATGAGACATGGGAAACATTCAAAGATTTACTTAGAAAGTGTCCTCATCATGCTATACCCAAGTGGCAGCTCAATAGAATTTTTTATGATGGATTATTAGAACAACATAGAAATATGGTTGATTCTATATGTGGAGGAGCTTTTATGGAGAAAACCCTTGATGAGATTTACAGTCTTTATGAGAATTTAAGTGAAAATTCTAGAGATCAAGCCTCTTTTGAATTATATGACAGGGATAAGAAGAGAGGAATTTATGAATTGCATCATGATGATGATTCTAAACTTAGAAATAAGGTTAATCAGATTAATCAAAGATTAGAAAAACTTGATTTACTTATTGACAATATTAGAAAGCCTCTTAACCCTCAATTTAATTCAAATAGTACATGTCCTATGTATGGTGAGAATGATTATTCATAATTTCAATGTTATAATTTAGATCAATCATTTCACCCTAAGCAAAAACAAGTGCAAGTAGCTCATGATTTTAATAGAAATAGGGAACCTTTTTAAAATTCTTATAATCCTAATTGGAGGAATAATTTTTCATGGAGAGACCCAAATAATATTCAAAATCCAGAAGCACTTAGACCCAATTCAAACTCTGAATTTCGTCCAAAACAAGAAAATAGATTTCAGAAAAATCAGCCCTCTCAAACCCAACTTGATACTATGGAAATGATGCAGCAAATGAGCCAAATGATGCAACAAACTATGAATCAAATGATGCAACAAACTATGAATCAAATGGTGCAGCACCAGAAATAAATTATAGAGGCCCTTGGGAATAAGAGAGAAGAGGGACAGCTACCTAGTCAGCCCATAGAAAATCCAGGGAACCGCCCAACAATAGGATTTTAGCAAGGGAAGTCTAGTAGCATGAATCTAGGAAAAAACCCACGAAATAAAAATGTTAGGACAGTGAATGCATTAAGGAGTGGTAAGATCTTACTTGATCCTTATCCCCAAACATTAGAAGAAAAAGAAAACGTGGACAACCCAAAACAAAATCAAATAGGAGTAGAAGAAGATTTTATAGATTCTACCAAGGAAATTTTGAAAGAGAGGACAACCATTCCATTTCCTAAAGCTCTAGAGCCTAGACAAAGAAAGAAAAAGGAACACAATGAAGAAATAAAGAAAATTTTACAAGATGTGCAAATTAGTCTTCCTTTACTCACTACCATTGAACATATTCCTAAATATGCTAGAGTTTTGAAAGAAATGTGTACACCAAAAAGGGCACCTAGAGTAGAAAAATTATCTATGCATGCTAGTACATTATTATTAAATCAATTACCATATAAATTGAGAGATATAGGTGCCCCTTTAATTTCGTGTGATATTGGTGGATCCATTTTTCAGAATGCATTACTTGGCACCGGTGCTAGTATTAATTTATTACCTGCAAGTATTTGTGAGAAATTTAATATTTCTGATCTTAAACCTTCTATTGTTACCTTACAATTTGCTGATAGATCCATAAAACATTCTAAAGGTATTTTAGAAAATGTGATAGTAACAGTTAAAGGGTGTAAATTTCTAGCTGATTTTGTAGTGCTAGAAATGGATTTTAATGGACAGTTTTATGATACACCAATCATCCTAAGGAGACCATTTTTGCATACAACAAAGATGAATATTGATTTTTCCACAGGTATTGCGAAAATTTCATGTGGAGATCAATCAGTAGAAATTAAAATTTTTGAGGTACCAAATGATCTTAAGAAATCATAAGTATATGATTGTCATACCATAGATCTTCTAGATGATTTTGATGATCCAGATGTTATTGATGACTGTGTGCTAGAAGAATTAGAGGAAATAGAGAATATAAATTTGGGAGAAAAGAAAGAGGAAGATCATCTGAATTTAGAGTTGAAACCTCTTCCCTCTAGTTTAAAATATATGTTTTTAGAGGAAAATAATTCATTTCCTATTATTATTGCAGCTGATTTGAGTGATGAACAGGAAGAAGAATTATTAGATGTACTTCGAAAAAATAATAAGGCTATGGGCTGGAAAATGGACGATCTAAGGGGCATTGATATGAGTGTATGCATGCATAGTATATATCTAGAGGAGGGGGCTAGAACTAGCAGGGAACCACAACGAAGATTAAATCCTAACATGATCGAAATTGTAAAAAAAGAAATTTTAAAGTGGCTGGCTGCTGATATTATTTATCCTATTTCAGATAGCAAATGAGTTAGTCCTACACAAGTAGTGCCAAAAAAATCAGGGATCACGGTTATAAAAAACGAAAATAGGGATGAAATACAAACAAGATTAACTACTGATTGGAGGGTTTGCATTGATTATAGAAAATTAAATTCAGTTACTAGAAAAGATCATTTTCCCCTACCATTTACTAATCAAATTCTAGAAAAATTAGCTGGAAAAAACTTTTTTTATTTTCTGGATGGATACTCTGGTTATAATCAAATTTATATAAACCCTTTAGATCAAGAAAAAACAACTTTCACTTGTCCATTTGGTACTTTTGCTTTTAAATGCATGCCTTTGGTCTGTGTAATGCTCTAGCCACATTTCAAAGATATATGCTGTCTATTTTTTCTGATATGATTGGAAAATGCATGGAAATTTTTATGGACGGTTTTTTTGTTTTTGGTGAATCATTTGATGAATGCTTAAATCATTTACAGCATGTACTTGAGAAATGCATAGAGAAAAAATTCGTTTTGAGTTGGGAGAAATCACATTTTATAGTTAAAGAGGGAGTTGTGTTGGGTCATATTGTGAGTAAAAGGGGTTTAGAGGTGGATAGAGCAAAAATTGATATTATATCTAAAATAAAACCTCCAAATTCAGTAAAATAGATTAGATCTTTCTTGGGTCATGCAGGTTATTATAGAAAATTTATTCAAGATTTTTTGAAAATTTCTAAACCTCTCACCATATTATTATCTAAAGATGTGCCTTTTTAATTTTGATGAGAAATGTTTTGAGTCTTTTTCTAAAATAAAAAGATTACTTACTGAGGCACCAATTTTACAAGCTCTTGATTGGTACTTTTCTTTTGAAATAATGTGTGATGTATCGAATTATGCAGTGGGGGCCATTCTAGGACAAACAAAAGAGTCAAAACCTATAGTAATTTCATATGCTAGTAAAACTATATCCGATGCTCAATTAAATTATACCACGACTGAAAAAGAGTTGTTAGCTGTAGTATTTTCGTGAGAAAGGTTTAGACCATATATTTTGGGAGCTAAAACTATTATTTATACTGATCATGCAGCATTAAAATATCTGTTAAATAAGAAAGATGCAAAGCCACGTTTATTAAGATGGATTTTATTGTTGCAGGAATTTGACTTAAAAATAAAAGATAAAAAAGGTTTCGAGAATGTTGTTGCTGACCATCTTTCTAGATTAAGTGATACAGGAATAAATGCAGCACCTTTACAAGACGCATTTCTAGATGAACAATTGATGGCAGCTCAACATCAACCATCACCATGGTATGCACATATTGTTAATTTTCTGGTTTCTGGAAAAACTCTAGACCAGTGGGATAAGAATAGAAAACATCATTTCTTTTCTAAGATTAGAAATTATTTTTGGCATGATCCTGATTTATATTACTTGGGCAATGATCAAATTTTAAGGAGATGTGTTCCTAAAGAAGAATATCATAGCATTATTAACATGTGCCATTCATCTAATTGTGGAGGACATTTCTCTAGACGAAAAATAGCTGCAAAAATTTTTCAGTGTGGTTTTTATTGGCCTACAATCATTAGAGATTCTATAGAATTTAGTAGAACATATATTTCATGCCAATCTATAAGTAACATGAGTAAAAAAGATGAAATGCCCATGAGTAGTCAAAAATTTTGATGTATGGGGAATAGATTTCATGGGTCCCTTCCCATCAACTGAAAAATATGAATATATTTTGCTTGCTATTGATTATGTGTCGAAGTGGGTGGAAGCTATTCCTACTAGAACTAATGATTATAAAATCGTGATGAAATTTGTGCTAGAAAATATTTTTTCGAGATTTAAATGTCTTAGAGTGATTATTAGTGATGGAGGAACACATTTTATAAATAAACATTTCAGGGAACTATTGAAAAAGAATGGAGTACACCATAGAGTAGCCACTCCATATCATCCCCGAACAAATGGGCAAGTTGAAGTAGCAAATAGGGAAATTCAGAGAATTTTGAGAAAAATAGTTAAACCAGATAGGAAAGATTGGCCCACGAAATTACAAGATGCATTATGGGCTTATAAAACAGCTTATAAAAATCCTATAGGTATGTCCCCATTTCGTCTGATTTTTGGAAAGCCATGTCATCTTCTTGTGGAAATAGAGCATAAAGTATTATGGGCTATAAAAAATTTATGTATGGATGAAAAATCAGCTGGTGGGCATAGAATTTTTTAGCTACATGAACTAGAGGAGTTGAGGAATGAAGCTTATGAAAATCATAGAATATATAAAGAAAAAACTAAAACTTTTCATGATAAATACATTAGCAGAAAAAAAATTAATGTTGGACAAAAAGTGTGGTTATATGATTCTAGGCTGAAATTATTCCCAGGAAAATTAAAATCAAAATGGAAAGGGCCTTATGTGGTGGAAGAGACATATGATCATGGGGCTGTAACGATTAAAGATCCTAAAAGTGATCATAACTTTAAGGTAAATGGACAGCGGCTTAAACATTACATATAACATGAACGCCTTGCAGAAAAAGAAATTTTATTATTAAAAGAAATTCAAGAGTAAGATCAAGGAGTCCAGCTGGAGACATTAAATGCAGCGCTGCATGGGAGGCAACCCATGGTTTTTATTTCATTCTGTTTGAATTTTTTTTTAAGCTCTATTTTGTTTCTGTATTTGTTTTTTCAAAAAAGTGCAGGAGGAGGAGTGTAAGATGAAGTAGAAAATTAAAAACGAGGTTGAGGTGATGTCTTTCTGAGCTTTATCATTTATGACAACATTTTTAATACTTAACTTTGCATATATGCATGCTTCACTTGAAAATTATATTTTCTGCATATTTTGTTTCGAGTTTTCTTTGTCATTGAGGACAATGTCATTTTTAAGTTGGGGGGTGAAGTATTCATTATTAATTTATGCTATAGGACGATTAAGAACATGTGTTTGCATTAGAACAACAACTGAAAAAATAAAAAATAAAATAAATTAGGAAAAACTGCAACATCTATTTTCTGGTTTTTTGTTAGGAACAACAGACTGTCAAAAATAGCAGACAAAAAACAGCCCAAAATTTAAAATTCTAGAGACTCTTTTCTCACATTTCAATCCCCTAGACATATATTACTGAAATTCGAAATTACAGCTATAAAAAGGATAGTTTTGATTTATTTTTGACAAATTTATTGTTGCTAAAAACAGAACTAAAAATAGAAAATAGAATTGTCAGAACTATCTAATTTAAAAATTTCTTACATCATATTGCATGCATGAAAAATTAAATCAATTAGATTGATTGATACCAAAAGACACTAGGAAGATTATTATTGAGTCAAAAGAATGATCTAGTAGCATGAAATGTTGGAATACTCCTTGGATACATGATAGATAACATGGATTTGATTTTACAAATTTTCACTTCATGATCTTGATGGATAGTATTTACTTGATGTGAAAATTTGATTGATCATTTGAGTTTAATAGAGATTTTTGCACCCAGATCTATAGGACTTGTGAGGAGAAATCACTTATTTCAAAAAAAAAGAGAGAGCAATGTGAAAAATCTAGAAACGAAGAGTACACATGGAGGGTGTGAGACATCATTCTCATTGTCGAAAATTGTGTATAGAAAAACGCTTGTTGCAAAATAAGTGGATAAAGTGAAAGCCCTGAAAATTAAGAGTACACATGGAGGGTGTGAGACATCATTCTCATTGTCGAAATTTGTCTATAGGAAAAGCTACTTATTCACTATAAAAGAAGGAAGAAATATAGTGCAAACTTCAAAAATCAAGCAATGGAAAAAGGGAAATGTTGGATCAATATTATTCTTGGATGATTATTGATAATTGGAACATCTTGTAAATATATCTATGAGTGAAGAAGTGATAAAGATGTGAATAGAAGAAGTGAAGTCTAGATTGTTATTCTAAGGAGTGCTTTAACATTTAAGTGCTTGACATCATTCTTAAAAACTTGATATAAGAGTCCAAAGTGTCTAAGGGTGCATCATTTCTAATTGTATTTTTTTTTTTTTATATTGAAATATGATGTTTGAGATTTGTAAATTTTTATTTTCGTAATGTCATTGCTAAGGGACTAGTAATGATTTAAGTTAGGGGGTGATAAGTCTTCATTATCATGAGTTAATAATTAGTAAATAATATACTTTTAGCTTTAACTCATGATAAATAGACTTATATTTGTGTTAACGTGTGAAAAGTGCTTTTCAGTTGATTAATGTGAATTTTTAGGTAATTATGTGATTTTACATTGAATTTATATGATTTTTACAGTCTTGCTAAGAAAAAAAAAAAAAAAAAAGACAAAATGAGGGGGATGTGCCGGCCAGCCGGGCCCGCAAGTGGGTCGGAAGCTCAGTCGGGGAGTAGCCGCGAGCAGGGGCTTGAGCGGCTAGGACCGATAGGGGCACGTGTGTGCGCCACTCCCCTTCCACGTCACCGGTGGCCAGCCGGCTGTGGGGCAAGGAGTGGTCGTACACGCGAGAGAAGGGACTTTGCTTAGAAAGCTAACATTACTATATATTCGCCCAAAAAATCGCCGCACAACCGATGTGGGACTAAACCCGCGTCACACCTTCTCAGAAGAGGCGGGCGACCGGCGTGGGTTCAAGTACTTCTAGAGTCAAAAGTTATATATTTTTATCTGATTATCGCGACTTTCCTGCAGATCGTCGGTGAAGGATTAAGCAACGAGAATCGCTGGATCATCGGCGAAAATCTCGTCAACGCGATTCGCAGAGCATTGCTACTAAAATTGCAGAACAATTCGCGATAAAAGGATCGTGAATCCATCAAGTAAATCATCTCCGATTGATTGACGAACAAGCCGTCGTCAGGAAGAGGACGATCCACCGAGAGACGAGTCGCCACCTCTTGAGAGCGTACCAGATGTGATGAAGAGCCTCCTCTTGCTGCGCGGACCTGAGGATGAAGCTCCCTGACACGCACCCCACCTCCATTCAGCTCCTCTCTGTCGTGTGACAGCCGCCGGAGAGTCACGAAGTCGCTGTTTTTGCGCTCCGCCAGGTGACAGCCGCCGGAGACGATTTGACGACCCATTTCATTAATCTCTAGACTTCGCGAGAAGATCTAGAGATAGCCCACATCGTCCTTGTCCAAGGAGAGCCTTCGAGGCTGTGGACACTGCACGACGATCCTCCTGAACGCTCAGGATTCCGGTGCATCGCCGACGCATCGCCGTTGCGACGCCGGAACTCTATTTTCCTACTTTTAACTTACTTTACGCTTCATTTAGTGATAGTTTTTCTGATTTTAATTTACCAAAATATACTTTGTTCTATTACGATTCTTTCGGCTTTTACAGATCTTAATTTGATTAATTAAATCGTCTGTAATCGCTTACGTAAGAATCGCCAGGCAGAAATCTGTTTTCGCCCGATTCGCGTTTGCCGAGCGCTGAAATCATCCTGACGTCCGCATCCTTATTTCCTTTTTTCGTGAATTTTAAATATATTTCCTTTTCATTTCTTAGTATAAAATTCACATAAAATAGTATTCTCTAAGGAAAATTTCTGAATAATTACCAGATATTATATTACATCCCTATGATCGACTTGGAAAATTACCGCTATTTTTGGAAGTTTTATTGAATTATAATTGATATATTTATTCAAAAATACTTCTAGATATCCGAAAATTTGTATTTTCTAGTTTTATAAATTTTATATTTGCGTGATTTAATATAAAACGACTAAGTCACGTCACTGTCCATTTACCTTAAAGTTATGGTCGCTTTTAGGATCTTTAATCATTACAGCCCCATAATCATATGTCTCTTCCACCACATAAGGCCCTGTCCATTTTGATTTTAATTTTCTTGGGAATAATTTCAGCCTAGAATCATATAACCACACTTTTTGTCCAACATCAAATTTTATTCTACTAATGTATTTATCATGAAAAGTTTTAGTTTTTTCTTTATATATTCTATGATTTTCATAAGCTTCATTCCTCAACTCCTCTAGTTCATGTAGTTGAAAAATTCTATGCCCACCAGTTGATTTTTCATCCATACATATATTTTTTATAGCCCATTATGCTTTATGCTCTATTTCCACAAGAAGATGTCATGGCTTTCCAAAAATGAGATGAAATGGGGACATACCTATGGGATTTTTATAAGCTGTTCTATAAGCCCATAATGCATCTTGTAATTTTTTGGGTCAATCTTTCCTATCTAGTCTAACTATTTTTCTCAAAATTATCTGAATTTCCCTATTTGCTACTTTAGCTTGCCCATTTGTTTGGGGATGATATGGAGTGGCTACTTTATGGTGTACTCTATTTTTTTTCAACAATTTTCTGAAATGTTCATTTGTAAAATATATTCCTCCATCACTAATAATCACTCTAGGACATCCAAATTTCGAAAACTATTTTCCTACACAAATTTCATCACGATTTTATGATCATTAGTTCTAGTAGGAATAGCTTCCACCCACTTCGACACATAATCAATAGCAAGCAAAATATATTCATATTTTTCAGCTGATAGGAAGGGATCTATGAAATCTATTCCCCATACATCAAAAATTTCGACTACTAACATGTTACTCATGGGCATTTCATCTTTTTTACTCATGTTACCTATGGATTGGCATGAAATACATGTTTTACTAAATTCTATAGAATCTCTAATGATTGTAGGCTAATAAAAACCACATTGAAAAGTTTTTCAAGCTATTTTTCGTCCAGAGAAATGTCCTCCACAATTAGATGAATGGCACATGTTAATAATGCTATGATATTCTTCTTCAAGAGCACATCTCCTTAAAATTTCATCATTGCCCAAGTAATATAAATCAGGATCATGCCAAAAATATTTTCTAATCTTAGAAAAGAAATGATGTTTTCTGTTCTTATCCCACTGTTCTAGAATTTTTTCAGAAATCAGAAGGTTAACAATATGTGCATACCATGGTGATGGTTGATGTTGAGCTGCCATCAATTGTTCATCTAGAAATGCATCTTGTAAAAGTGCTGTATTTATTCCTATATCACTTAATCTAGAAAGATGGTCAGCAACAACATTTCGAAACCTTTTTTATCTTTTATTTCTAAGTCAAATTCCTACAATAGTAAAATCCATCTTAATAAACGTGGCTTTGCATCTTTCTTATTTAACAGATATTTTAATGCTGCATGATCAGTATAAATAATAGTTTTAGCTCCCAAAATATATGATCTAAAGCTTTCTCACGAAAATACTACAGCTAACAACTCTTTTTCAGTCGTGGTATAATTTAATTGAGCATCGGATATAGTTTTACTAACATATGAAATTACTATAGGTTTTGACTCTTTTGTTTGTCCTAGAATGGCCCCCACTGCATAATTCGATACATCACACATTATTTCAAAAGAAAAGTACCAATCAAGAGCTTGTAAAATTGGTGCCTCAGTAAGTAATCTTTTTATTTTAGAAAAAGACTCAAAACATTTCTCATCAAAATTAAAAAGGCACATCTTTAGATAATAATATGGTGAGAGGTTTAGAAATTTTCAAAAAATCTTGAATAAATTTTCTATAATAACCTGCATGACCCAAGAAAGATCTAATCTATTTTACTGAATTTGGAGGTTTTATTTTAGATATAATATCAATTTTTGCTCTATCCACCTCAAACCCCTTTCACTCACAATATGACCCAACACAACTCCCTCTATAACCATAAAATGTGATTTCTTCCAACTCAAAACTAGTTTTTTCTCTATACATTTCTCAAGTACATGTTGTAAATGATTTAAGCATTCATCAAATGATTTACCAAAAATAGGAAAATCATCCATAAAAATTTTCATGCATTTTCTAGTCATATTAGAAAAAATAGACATCATACATCTTTCAAATGTGGCTGGAGCATCACACAGACCAAAAGGCATGCGTTTAAAAACAAAAGTACCAAATGGACAAGTGAAAGTTATTTTTTCTTGATCTAAAGGGTTTATATAAATGTGATTATAACTAGAGTATCCATCTAGAAAAGAAAAAAGTTTTTTCTAGCTAATTTTCCTAGAATTTGATCAGTAAATGATAGAGGAAAATGATCTTTTCAAGTAACTGAATTTAATTTTCTATAATCAACGCAAACCCTCCAACCGGTAGTTAATCTTGTTTGTATTTTATCCCCATTTTTGTTTTTTATAACTGTGATCCCTGATTTTTTTTGCACCACTTGTGTAGGACTAACCCATTTGCTATTTGAAATAGAATAAATAATATCAGCAGCCAGCCACTTTAAATTTATTTTTTTTACAATTTCCATCATGTTAGGATTTAATCTTCGTTATGGTTCCCTGCTAGTTCTAGCCCCCTCCTTTAGATATATCCTCTATATGCATACACTCATATCAATGCCTCTTAGATCATCCATTTTCCAGCCCATAGCCTTCTTATTTTTTCGAAGTACATCTAATAATTCTTCTTCTTGTTCATCACTCAAATCAGCTGCAATAATAACAGGAAATGAATTATTTTCCTCCAAAAACATCTATTTTAAACTAGAGGGAAGAGGTTTCAACTCTAAATTCTGATGATCTTCCTCTTTCTTTTCTCCTAAATTTATATTCTCTATTTCCTCTAATTCTTCCAACACACAGTCATCAATAACATTTGGATCATCAAAATCATCTAGAAGATCTATGGTATGACAATCATATACTCAGGATTTCTTAAGATCATTCAATACCTCAAAAAATTTAATTTCTACTAATTAATCTCCACATGAAATTTTCACAATACTTGTGAGAAAATCAATATTCATCTTTGCTGTATGCAAAAATGGTCTCCATAAGATGATTGGTGTATTTTAAAATTATCCATTAAAATCCATTTCCAGGACTACAAAATCAGCTAAAAATTTGCACCCTTTAATTATCACTATCACATTTTCTAAAATACCTTTAGGATGTTTTATAGATCTATTAGCAAATTATAAGGTAATAGTAGAAGGTTTAAGATCAACAATATTAAATTTTTCACAAATACTTACAGTTAATAAATTAATACTAGCATTGGTGTCAAGTAATGCATTCTGAAAAATGGATCCACCATTCATGGTCTCTCCATGAAAAATTATTCCTTCAATTTAGATTATAAGAATTTGAAAAAGGCTCTCTATTTCTATTAAAACCGTGAGCTACTTGCATTTGTTCTTGCATACGGTGAATTGATTGATCTAAATTATAGCATTGAAATTCAAAATAATCTTTTTTACCATACATAGGACATGTACTATTTGAATTAAATTGAGGGTTAAGAGGCTTTCTAATATTGTCAATAAGTAAATTAAAATTTTCTAATCTTTGATTAATCTGATTAACCTCATTTCTTAATTTAAAATCATCATCTGATACAATTCATAAATTCCTCTCATCTTATCCCTGTCATATAATTCAAAAGAGGCTTGATCTCTAGAATTTTCACTTAAATTTTTATAAAGACTATAAATCTCATCAGGGTTTTCTTCATAAAAGCTTCTCCACATATAGAATCAACTATATTTCTTTGTTGTTCTAATAATCCATCATAAAAAATTCTATTTAGCTGCCACTTGGGTACAGCATGATGAGGACACTTTCTAAGTAAATCTTTGAATTTTTCCTATGTCTCATGTAAAGTTTTTTCTGGTCTTTGAGAAAAACTCTATATATGTTTTCTGATATTTTGAGTTTTTCTTAAAAGATAATTTTTTTGAAGAAAAGCCTGTTCTATGCCTTTCAACTAGTTAACTCTCTATCTAATGTAGATAGCCAATGACTAACTTTGTCCCTAAGTGTACAAAGAAATAATTTCATCTTAATAATTTCCGGTGTAACTTGAGAGAGATTAACTAAATCACAGACCATATGAAATTTTTCTAAGTGCTGATGAGGTTCCTCTAAAGTCAATCCATGAAAATTAGAGAGTATTTGAAAATTTTCTGGATTTATTTCGAATTCAATAGTGGGTGCTAATGGGACTCTAATATTGGATGCTCTCTGAAATGAATCATGGATATAATGATTTTTCATGGCCATAAGATTGTTTTCAGTTTGACCTATACTTCCTTCAAGATCTATCAAAATTAATATTTATTTCGGATTTTTAGTTTTGAATGAAATAATAAAATGATTTTCTAGCCTTGGATGCAAGGATCTTCTACCATGTATAAAAAATCAATAAATTCGAGGGAAAAAGTTTAGTAATTGTTACCCTCCTTCAGTATGCACCATTCCTTGCCTTGCTTCTTGATGAGTCTTCATTATCATGAGTTAATAATTAGTAAATAATATAGTTTTAGCCTTAACTCGTGATAAATAGACTTATATTTGTGTTAAAGTGTGAAAAGTGGTTTTCAGTTGATTAATGTGATTTTTTGGGTAATTATGTGATTTTATACAAATTTATATGATTTCTACAGTCTTACTTTTGAGATAAATGAAGAAAAAGAAATAAAACTAAAATATTACAAAATGGGGGGACCCGCCGGCCAGCCGGGCCCGCAAGCAGGTCGGAAGCTCAGTCGGGGAGCAGCCGCGAATAGGGGCTCGAGCGGCTTGGACCGGTAGGGGCACGTGTGCGCCACTCCCCTTCCACGTCACCGGTGGCCAGTCGGCTGTGGGGCAAGGAGTGGTCGTACACGCGAGAGACGAGACTTTGCTCACAAAGCTAACATTACTATATATTCGCCCGAAAAATCGGCGCACAACCGATGTGGGACTAAACCCGCGTCACACCTTCCTCAGAGGCGGGCGACCGGCGTGGGTTCGAATCCTCTCAGATTCAAAATTCATATATTTTTATCTGATTATTGCGACTTTTCTGTAGATCGCCGGTGAAGGATTAAGCAACGAGAATCGCTGGATCATCGACGAAAATCTCGTCAACGTGATTCGCGGAGCATTGCTACTAAAATTGCTGAACGATTCGCGATAAAAGGATTGCGAATCCATCGAGTAAATTATCTCCGATTGATTGACGAACAAGCCATCGTCGGGAAGAGGACGATCCGCCAGGAGACGAGTCGCCACC